GCAAGTAATGTTATTATATCAGTAATCACTGTCTTCAATTTATTGGATAACTGATAACATGTGTAAGTGTAAGGCTGTCAAGAATTTGGCTCTCCTCCGAACTTCATCATCCCCATATTATGGCGTCGAAACGAATACTAAGATGCCTCCGAATAACGAGCCAATATTATCGAGGGCAAACAAATACTCTAATAGAGTCTCAGGGAAATGTTAATTTCAGAACTGTTTCTGTTCAATGCTGCACCGCCGACAGTATCCCCAACGCCATACGTGCTGCGCGAAGGGGCTAAACTAAATGGCTAGGACTCACGAGCAAATAAATTAGAAGGATGTTGCAGGAGAAGTGGTAGCTGCTGCTTGTGAGTCCCAGCCATCTAGTTTAGCTCCCCATCCGCGCCACACGGGGAATACGCTCGGTGGTTAGTTTAATCGAGAGAACACTATCGCTAACCTGTGTCAGAGTGGGTGGACTCCCCGCCATGTCGCTATTATCGTGTGTTTTGCTGCGTTTCTTGAAATTGTCAACAGTTATTAATCCCGGTTTTGCCGTGCTGTGTTCGTCGGAGGAAATCCGCATTTAACACACAACTGAGGCCCTGTTAGGGTATCTGTTTGGCTGCCATAATATGGAGACGAAGTTGGAAGGAGAGCTAAGAATTTTATGTAGCTTCTTAATCTTAACTCTTTCCAAAATCGTATTTTTCAGTAACAGCTGTCAAATCTTCTTCTTCTTCGCGTTCACCAGCTGTACACTCTGGCGGAAAGTTCTGGTTGCTTGTCCACTACTGAACTGCAGTCCTGCTCCAGAACCTGAGTGTTGCATGTGCATCAGTTTTACAGATCTCATTCTCTTGAATACAGACTGTTGGTTCCTTGTCTCTCCGGCAGATGCACTCCGACTTCAAAGGAAGCTCACCAATTAGTCTACTCTTACGACATGCTTTTGGGGAGGCAGTTGGTCTATTCTTGTTTTCCCCACAATGGGGCCCCGGAACCCACACGGGGGAGCTGTCAAATGAAATGACAGTGTCGGTCACCAGAAACCTACAATTGTCTTTTTTTGTTCGTTTTTGAATAGCTGCATTTGAGTCTGGTAGTCTTAGTTTCAGCTTTATACTAAACTGGTCTGGTAGTCTGTAGTCTTAGTTTCAGCTTTATAGTAAACTGGTCTGGTAGTCTGTAGTCTTAGTTTCAGCTTTATACTAAACTGGTCTGGTAGTCTGTAGTCTTAGTTTCAGCTTTATAGTAAACTGGTCTGGTAGTCTTAGTTTCAGCTTCATAGCAAACGGGTCCCCCCATCTTTGCTCCGCTCCTGTGCCAACGAAAAGCACACAGAATGTTTATCACAGTCCCTTGTGGAAAGATTGACAGACTGCTGTCTCAGCATATCTAGCATACACTCGCAGTAAAGCATACGGTAGCCAACCGAACCGAAGTGCTAACACAAACAGTCCAACATTAGAAATGCAGTTCATCATTGATGATAGCAGAACTTGTCTCCAACAGATCAGCAGTCGCCCAGGCGATCAAATTTAATCACATACGGGCACCGCCAACATTGCACGGCAGGCATCGCGCCATTTTCTGAATCTACAATTCACACCACCACGTTGGTCACAGTCGAAAAAAACATTCCAAATGCAATCCGCAGCTCACAGTATCACGCCATGCATTCAACTCAGAAGCTAGGAGACGAAACTATATCCAGTCTACAAATGGAGCAAAAATGCATCGGTCACCGTCTGGCAGAAGCAACAAAATTGCCTTTGCTTCGAACAGTGCCGCTGCCTAGCGTCCATTTTAACCGGAAGTTAGTAAACAGGTCACCCCATCCTTGCTCCGCTCCCCTGCCAACGAAAAACATACAGAATGTTTATCACAGTCCCTTGTGGAAAGATTGACAGACTGCTGTCTCAGCATAACTAGCATATACACACATTAAAAGCATATGGTAGCCATCCGAAGTGCTAACACAAACAGTCCGACATTAGAAATGCAGTTCACCATTGATGGTAGCAGAAGTCACCAACAGATCAGCAGTTGCACACGCGATCAATTTTAATCAAATAAGGGCACCACCAACATTGTGACAACAGGCATCGCACCATTTTCTGAATCTACAGTTCATACCACTACGTTGGTCACAGTCGAAAAACATTCCAAATCAAATCCGCAGGTGCGGGGAATACTCTCGGCGGTGGCAGTATATTCTCCGGAAAGCAGTCCAGAATTTACAAGTGATTGAGGCCCTGTTAGGGTATATTTCCGGCATCAATAATTTGGGACCGTTATTTAGAGGATAGCTATGGTTTATTTAAATAATGTTCGCCTCACTAACCAATCCATCATATCTGCATTCACTTATTTCAAACACTGCCTCGTCTATATCAGCCTCTACCCTAAGCCAGTCATGCATGCCATGATCCACTCAAGATTCAGTGAATGGACACAATAAATATAGGTTTTTCAGTGACAATTTAATTTAGACAAATTATTTTATCCTCTCTAAATTTAACATCATGGCTTTGAGGTTTTATTGGATGATGCAGCTGTGCTTGCTGTATCTAACAGTGCTGGTTTTAGAATTAAAAAAAACAATCCAAAAATATGTTCACTTAGCTAGTAGTAAAGTTATTTCTCTATCAGTGCTGTCAAATGCTTATTCATAGTCTATAAATCCAATGTATAGTGGTGAGTTCAGTTCAATGCTGTGCTCTATTATAATATATAATGTGGCTATCTGGTCAGTACAGGATCTGTTTGACCGAAAACCTGCCTGTTCATCTCTTAGCTTTTTATCAATAGCCTCTTTGAATCTTTCCAAAATAATTCCACTTAATATTTTTCCAGGAACTGACAGCAACATAATTCCTCTATAGTTTTCACACTCTGTAGATCACCTTTTCTGGGCAGTTTCACAAGATATCCTTCTCTCCAGTTTGCTGGTATTTTTTTGTCTCCCAGACTTTACTGAATAATCTATGTAGCAATTCTGTTGATGTGTTTATGTTGGTCCTGATGGCTTCAGCTGGGATACCATCTGGGCCTGACGCCTTTCCTTCCTTAAGAAGATTTATAGCTTTTCTAATTTCCTCTTTGGATGGTATCTCACAGTTGATATCCAGTTCCATTTCTAAAGGCTGGATATCTGTAGAAACCTCTGGACCTGGTCTATTTAGAAGCATTTCAAAATATTCAACCTATCTGTCCATTTGATCTTTAGTCTTAGTAAGTACCTTTCCTTGAATGTTTTTAATTGATCCAGTTGGCTGACTATATTTACCTACTAATTTTCTTTTGTTACTTTAAAGTTCTCTGAGGTTTCCTTTTCCTGCTGGTGTCTCCGCTTCTTGTGATAGATCATTTAGATATTTAACTTTATCTGCCCTTTTACGCCTCCTAACTTCCTTATTGGCTTCTGTGTATTTATCCTGAGCTCTAGCTTTAGCAGCTCAAGTTTTGCTATTGTTCAAGTCTGCCTTTTTACTTTTCCTTTCTTCAATCAGTTTAATAGTTTCTGGTGTTATCAACGCATTATGTTTCCGTTCTTTCTTGCCAAGAACTTCTACACAAGATTCATTCCAGATTCCTTTGATCTGATCCCAGCAGACTTCTGTGCTAACGTCTTCAGCTTACTGCTGCAACACCTGGTACTTATTACAGACTGTAACTGAAAACTGTCCCTTAACTTCTATTAGGGCAGTAATGTAGATGAAGATGAAGGAACTGATAGAGATATTAAAATTAGAATACAAAAGGCAAGAGGAGCTTTCACAGCACTAGGGAATTTGTGGAGGTCAAAAGAAATTAAAAGAAATACTAAACTAAAAGTTTTTAATTCTAATGTCAAATCAGTACTATTGTATGGGGTGGAAACATAGAAAACAACTAAGGCAATTACTAATAAATTACATTCATTAACTGGTGCCTGCACAGAATAGAGGGAATTAAATGGTATGATAGAATAACTAATTTGGAGCTTTAGGAGAGAACTTAACAGGCTCCAGTGGACCAAGAGGTGAGGAAAAGACGCTGGCACACTGAGAAAACAGGAGAACAGCATAACTAGAATGTCTTTGCATTGGAGCCCACAAGGGCATAGGAATAAAGGAAGGCCAAAAAAACACATGGAGAAGAGAGCTGGAGAATGAAGTTAGAAAGATGGGGAGGACATGGAGAGAGCTCCATATAGTGGCGAAGGATAGAACGACTTGGCTCGAGTTGGTTGAGGGCCTATGCTCCATTGGGTGATAGAAAGGCAGAAGAAGAATAAAGTTATTTCTGCTGCACTGCATACAGTCATCCAGGTGAAGTCACAGAAACAAAATAAATCACCAGAGAAAATTGTCCGTTTTAAAACGATTGAGATAATGACTTACTGAATATGTTTGTTGATGTTGCTGTGTGTCTTTCTCTTTCTCTATCACCACTTCCCTGCCTTATATCAAGTTGTTCCAAGCAATGTATCATGCATGATCTGCAAATGTTCATTTGTTCGAAGCAATGCACCATGCATGATCTGCAAATTTCCGGTAGTTCCAGTCAATGTGCCATCAATGATCTGCAAATGTCCAAATGTTTCAAGCAATGCACCATTGATGATCTGCAAATGTTCATTTGTTCTGGTCCAAGCAGTGCATACTCTGGAAATGTTCACTTGATCCCAGCGCATCATGCATGATCAGTAAATGTTCATGTGCACTAAATGATGCATAATCTAACCTGATACCTAATATAGAAACCTGGCTCAGTTAATTTAACATACATGTTTTATGAAGGGGAATTTATACTGTGTACTATCTTTATCCCTTCCTTCCCCCTCACTCTCTCTCTCTCTCTCTCTCTCTCTCTCTCTCTCTCTCTCTCTCTCTCTCTCTCTCTCTCTCTCTCTCTCTCTCTCTCTCATTCTCTGTCTCTCCACATATACACTCTTTCAAATATACACATAAACTATTTTATTAATTATATTTTTTCTGCCTTCCTCAGGTTAAAAATAAAAGATGAAGAAACTTAGTACCACCTGGCGTCACCAGAAGCCATTTAATTCAAATAAGCCAGGTGCTTCTACAGAAAGTGAACAACCATGTCAAGCTGTGGGCAGGAGATGTTTAGGGAGGTTCCCGATAGCTTCATCAGTGGTTTTGAAAACAGTTGTAAACATTGTCCCTGAAACTGACACAGTAGGTGTAGAATAGCGTTACTTAGAACACAGATATTAGGCACTAATAGTAGGTATTATACAGGTGCAATAAATATTACGAATATGGTGCTAGAACAGAAAATAAATACATTTGACATGCCCTGTCTCTGTAAGTCACTATTAACACAAGAGGGGACAGGATTACAAATACCAGCATTCAAGAGAAAGTTGAAATAAGACCATGTCTGAATTATATTCACAGGCGAAGAATGACATGGTTCGGCCATCTAGTGAGAATGCAGCCACCCCAAGCTGCATATGAGACTTTTTGCAGCAGAACATCCAAAAAGAAGGCGAGGGAAAGACCAAAGAAGAGATGGATAAATGATGTCACTGAAACCTGTAAAATGATGAACATCTCCACTATCAAAGCCACCCAAGAAGCATCAGACAAATACAGAAAACCACAACACTGGGATACAACCTGGTATCAGTGAGGTGACAAAAGAAGAAGAAGAATAGATAGTAAATAAAGGACCCTCTTCACTCCAGTGACACACTGGGCACATGATGCTAGAATAATATTTTTTATAGACCAATTGGCCCTTCCTAGAACTTAACCTGGTACCAATTTTAGGCTGGGTCAACATAGAAGCCATGGTAATTTCTTTGAGAGAAATCTGAATCAGTGAGATTCGAACCTATAGCTTTCAGACCAGCAGGCAGATCATCAAGCTGCTACACTACTGTGGCTCAGTATACAATAAGTATTATACAGATATTATACACATAAGGCATTATACATATACATAGAATACAAATTCGGGGGGAAGGGGGGGGGGGGTGCTGCACGGTCTTGGGGCATGCCGCCCACTCGAATGCTGGAGGTTCCGGGTTCAGACCCCGATGAAGGCTAGGATTTGTTCACGCTGACTTCTAGTAATTTCCTCCAGTCTCTGTGTAGTAAGTTCAGATGCCTGTGTGTATTGTTGCACACATAAAAAATCCCTTGGCAGTTGGAAATCTAAAAGAATAGCCTAATGGCACTGCCCGGGCAAAATTTGGAGTAAAAAATCTACCCAAAGTTTTTCAGGATCCTTGCCGGTGCTACAGAACTCGTGCACTGCACTGAGATTCTTCGGAATCAGGCTGGAGTCAAGAGTATAATGGAGCACTTATGGGTTATCCCTTGTGACATGATATTGATCCGTCATCTAAACCTAAATCTAGAATACAAATATGTGTATTTATTTTACATGCATAATTTTTCTGCCTCTTTGTCTTGGTTATACCTATACATTTTTTCTTGTTTCAGTAAAACTGTCAAGACTGCAAATATCACAATATACAAAACATGCACCAATCATTTTTCATAACTTGGTGTTAATTGATAAAACACCGTTGAACACTGCGAAGAATAAAAATACATTGGCAGGAAGAAGAATGTAGTTATATTAATTTTGTTTTAGATGTAGTTAAAAAAAAAAATCTTTTTCAAGTACCTCTATCTGTAGAACCTGGCTTTGAGCAAGTAAAGTGTTTTTAGAACCTTGTAACAGCAGAGCATGAGCATTCATGAAAATTTTACAGATCAAACATTTTAACCGTCTCCCTCCAGGAGGCCTCAAGTACTGCATTTCCGTTGTTGCCATATTCCCATTAAGGTCCTAAAACTGGCCTGTTTGCAGTGACCTGTTTTCAGGAAGCACAGTTTAATGTTACTGCTTCTGTCTGCACCTTTGCATTGTTTAGTAGGTCTGGATATGAGTATATTTACTAAAAATAGATAGGGGTGTTTTCTTGTGAACCAAATAGCTTTTTAAAGCCATTGTAATGTCAGAGTGGTCCTGTGCCATCAGTGTTAAAAGGTCACGCAGTCACGTGAGTCTCCTGATACACATTGTTAAGGCCCTGGGAAATATATTCCATTCAATGTTTCACTACACTGGTCTTTATTGATTTCTCTCTTTATTTATTTTAAAACAAAAATCAGAAATGTGGATAAATAAATTTGTTTTAAAATTTATTAGGGACTAGTGTAAAATGTTTTTTAACTTTTTTTTTTTTTTTAAACGAAGTTGCCTTCGGTCCTGATCCTCTTTTTAAGTATTTTTGGGACAAAAGGGTTTGTACTTTTGTACTGTGTTATCTACTTTAATGTTATCATCGACATCTGGTTGTGCCATTGTAACTCATGTAGAAATTGTAGTGCAGACCTCCATTCTGTTTTATGCTGTGCTTTCCTTTATAGTGTCATGGACAGAATCCAGTCCAGCATTCCTGGCCTTTCTTGGCAGTGTTTGTCTTAGGGTTTTCTCTTCTTCTTCTTCTTTTCTCTACTTCTGGAATGCCCTGCGGCGTCAGGGCTGGAAGAGATCTCTGGAACGAGCTATTCTGTTTGCTTTGTATGAAGTGCTTTTCAGCGTCTCTGATATTTATGCAGCCCATGTTTTGCGTGGTCGACCTCTGGCTCTGTTACTGGTGTATCGGTATAACATTGCTCTCTGTGATGACCTGTCTGATACCAATTTGCTCTTTTACATCCTTTTTTCCTCAATTTCCTTGTTTCCCCTATTACAGCCTGTTTAGTGATTTTAAATATAGTATAAGCTATTTATACAAATACTTGTCTTCCCCAGATTGCCCCTTGCAGAATGGATGAAGATAGCACAGAGGACACTCAGTTTTCAGATTCATTGGATGCTGACTTATTAAAAGCATTTGAAGAGGAGGAAAAAGCTCTAGCTGGCATATACGAACCACACAAAGAGCCAGACATAATTTCATCATCAAACTCTGAATTGTCAAGAGAAACAGAAAATGCTGAAAACTTTACAGCAACTGTAGAGCCTGCTTTGAGTAGTAAGCTGGGTAGCAAGCGAAAATATATTAAGACATCTATGGAGCACACTGCAAAAATAGGTTCAAATGCAGATTGTGATAAGCAGCAAGTTATTCGTTTTCTCAGAACAACTGTAGGCTCAAATGTTAGTCCTACAAGCAGTCCTATGGACAAGCGACCAAAATGCTCAGTGGCATCCACCACAAGAATTACACGTTCAGGTAGTAAAAGCAATTCAGATAGGAGTCAGTCTTCTAAACCTTTAGCTTCATCAGCTGTAGCAGGCAAACTCAGTGGTCTTGTATCTACAGTTAAAAAATCAGCAGTTAAGGGAAATGAGGTTTGTTCTTTAAATGATAGTTTTAGTGGAAATACCAGTTTAAATTTATCTGATTTCAGTTTTTCGCCATTGTCTCTTGGTGGAGATGCAGATATGTTTAATAGTAGTGAAGATGAAACCTCAAATTCTAAAAGCACTGGTAATAGAGATTTGATGAATAATGACAAGTGCCGCAATAACAAATCAGGTGCAGTCTTACACCAGAGGCGGCTGTTTGATCATTCTTGTAAAAATGTAAAACATCCTACAATTGTACAGAAAGATGTTGATAATACTAACTGTCATAATAAGCTAAGTGTGAACACAGTAACAAAGAAAAATGAATTTTCAGTTATATCTCAGAATCAGTCACCACAAAATCAATTTCAGGCCACCGAAAATGTGAATACACAAAATGTAAGATCACAAGGCGGAGATCAGTCAGGTAGAACTACCTCACCGTCACCAATTAATAAACCAGCTAAACAACTTGAAAACCACACAGAGTGTAATCAGCGTGTACTCACAGCTTTTGAGAATGCTAGCAATTCTAACAATAATAACAGTATAAATAAGGTAAACAGATTCCGAAAATTGCATAACCAGCAGAAAAATATCCAGCTTGTTGACGAAAGACAAACATGTGTACCTTTCCTTGAAGAGAGTCAGGATCAAGTGGGCAGAGGTGTGCTGCCAGAGAATATGGAAAGCTGCAGGAAGCAACAACCTACATTATTGACTTCAGGAAGTGGAAGTATATTACAAGAGGATTCATGCAGTGAGTATATTAGGTTGTGGGTTTTATATTTTAGAGAGAATTTAAGGTCTACTAACCTACTTTACTGAGTTGAGCTGAGTCAGGAAGAATCAACATCATATCCGGACATTTCCTTATGCGCTCTATCCTCGTCTTTACCGCTATGAAAAGTTCCAGTTCTGGTAGTGCCAGTAGCAGTCTGCGTGTATGTCCTTCATCTTATTTACATTTAGAATGTAGACCAAATCATCTGTTCGCTCCTTGCCACACAATTCTCTCTGTTTATGCTTCTGCATTGTTCACTTCATCCCAAAGGGCCTTGACCACATCCAGCATGACATGCACCAAGTTCCAGTCAGCGGTGCAGCATCAACAAACAACTCTGCCTTTCTGTTCAGGAGAATGGAGAGGATAACATGTGTTTACTGTGCCTTTTAATTTATTGTTGCTTTCAATCCAGTATCATAGCAGAAAGATGTGTGTATCCTGTTTGATGTCTGGTTAGTTTCACTAATAACTCTTTCAGTCCCAAACAACCCACCATGCGTTTCTGAATCAGTTCAAAGATAATATAATTTGCCACCTTCTTCAATCAGAGAAGAATGTTAAATCATTCCTTATAGTCTAAATTACTAGTTCAGCTTCCTATATCTCCTAGTGCCTGTCTTGAACTTCTTAGGGCCAGATTATTTACTGCCTTTAAGCTAAACACCTTCAGGTAGAAGGAGTTAAAAAACAAAAACTGCTTGGGATTGAAAGAGCTAATTTGGGTTATGAGGAATCTAAAGTTTATAAAGGAGCTAAGCTATAAAGGATTCTTATCACGGGCATCAGAAGGTGATAGTCAATATTTTGACCGCATCATATGAAGAAGGCAACTAAAACATGTATAGTAAATGGTCAGGTAAGCTAAAAAATAAATGCAGATAAAGAGAAAATTACCAGTGCGTTACTGATACCATAGATCCAAAGAAAAGTAATATAACAATTTACCAAGTATGTCATAAGAGGTGTTTAGGGCGGTTTCCCCCCCCCCCCCCATGACTAATGATTGCTATCTCAAATTGCTGCTTTTGGTGTTTTCTAAAGATATATCTTTTCAGCCAATATTAAATATATAATAACAAACAGATAATGTATTGATCGACACTTACAGAAAGAAGTAGAAAGATAGAAGGACACACAAGACAACATAAAAATCAAAAGCTGCAGTTACCTTGCTGGGAATCTAACCTGTCACCTCAAAATGGCATGTGCGACTCGCCATGGAAACAAGTGTACTTAGAACATGACCAACTAGACACCCCCCTAAAAAAGGTGTCTTCATTGGTCATGTCTGTCGTACAGCCTGAAATCCACAACTATGTAATACGGACAGAATTCATCTCAAATAATTGAAATGGCACCATAGGTTACAGAAATTAATATATATATTTTATTTATATTTATATTCTCAGCCAATGAAAGCTGTAAAGCAGAGCCTCTTTCATATGTTCTACTTAATGACAAATGGCTTTGGAATGAGGTCGTTTCCCCTCACTTACATGAGGCTCAGTTTCTTCTTTGTGATTAATCCTACTGAGGACTACATACATCATAGAGTGGAAGTCAAAGCAAATCACTATAGTGGTGTAAACACTTAGCACCCAAGCCTTGAACTCATACTTGAAGACCTCATGCACATGGTCAAAAAGAGTGTGTTGTTAGCCTGCTTGGAGAGGCAAGGAACCAACAGTCTGCATATAGATAAGTCAGATCTGTAAAATGTATGTGCATGCAAAATGTAATGTTTGAACAAGATCAAGGTCCAGAAGTGGGTGAACAACCAGAACTTTCCACCAGAGTTTACAGCTGGTGAAGGCTAAGAGGAAGAAAAACAAAAATCATTAGCTCTCAAACTGTTCATATTGAAAAGGTAGTAACTTGAGTTAAGAACTGACATTATCACATTTGGGATATTCACATAAGTGCTTCATCCTCATCTTCAGCAGCCAGCAAGGAGTTTAAATTCCAATAGTACCAGATGTAGTTTGATTATATGTCCATCTTGCCTTTCCTGCCAGCATGCAGTGTTGTTAAGATTTACTGGTCACTCCCCACCACATAATTCTTTCCAGACTCTGATGACCCCCTCATGCTTCTGCATTGTTCATTTACTCCCAAAGGGCTTTGACTTTATGTAGCTTGTGATGCATCACTTCACCATCCAGAGATGCAGCACCAACCAGCCTGTCTGCCTGTTGATTTCCCAACACACCTGCAAAAACATAAATTGTAGGGTTTGTATAGAGAATATTATACTCCTTATGGCATTGAAAGATATCTACACATTAATTAATACATACTCCAGAATGATGCACCAGTGTGTTCCCGGGCTGTAAGGGAAACACAGAATTATAACATTATAACCTGCGCTTCGCACGGTAGCACAGTGACTTGGATGCTTGTTTGACTTTTTTGGCCAAACTGTTTTATTTCTGCCTTCTTGATTTTAAAATTAAAGTAAATGCTCAAATAGCTTCTTTACTTTTGTGTGTGTGTGTGTGTATTTTATACAGGTAACAGTTTGACAGTTGACAAGAGGCAGTTAAGCTCATGGGGTCTGCCTGAGCCTGTTTTAGAAGCATATAGAAGTCAAGGAGTGCTGACTATGTTTGAATGGCAAGCAGAATGCCTGCTCACTGGCAACGTACTGGGTATGTATAGCAGACATTCTTGTGTTGAATCATGATTTAATAAGCATCAAATTCACACGTGAACACCCAGAAGAGACAGCTGTCATTACTATGATAACATCAAATGAAAAGAAGAAAAAGATGTTTGTTAATGTTTTCCATTTTTCCGTCTTGTTCTTCTGCATTCTTCCAAAGACTAGAATGCATTGTGCTTGTTTACAACATTAAAAAAAAAAAGTTAAAAAGGAAAGGACCCTTTTCCACGCCTTGGGGCATATTGGACATCCAGGGCTAGATCTATATTTTATAGATCGATTGGCACTTGGTGGGTGATGTGGTCAACATTTTGCCGGCCGTCTTTACTTCCCAGGACTTTAGCGGGTACCCATTTAAGGCTGGGTCAACCTGGGAGCCAAGGTCATTACTGAAACAATTATGGCTCCTTCAGGACCTGAACCCATGATCTTCGAACCCTCCGGCGAGTATCAAGCCGCTACACCATGGCGACTCCCTATATTTGTTGAGCAGGTTAGTTTTCCCAGATTTCCTGTTCTACTTCACCTACTAATTTACCTCTTTGGGCGTCACAGGAGTTGCAGGGTTCTGGTACTTTTGGCCACCTCAGCTATTGACACTTGATGCTGTCATATGGTGTCTCTGATGTTGTGTTTCCAACTTGTTCTTTTGTTCTTTGCCTGCCTCTAACTCAACATTCCCTTCTTCTTCCCACTGATTATATGCAGTTTAGCACTGACTGTATGCCAGCTTTTTTATTTTTGTAACTTTGTCCCTGATTTTCTTTTCTGGTTACTTCTGTGCTTAAGATAGACTTTGTTGAGAAAGGCTTGGGCGATGAACTGGATTTCTTCCGTGATATTGAATGTACTAAATAGGGTAGAATGGAATAGAGGACTACACTATGAGCCCTACAAAACATTTAATGGCACAGCAGGATGATGTTGATTTTGGTTACTCCCACAACTTTTCTTAGACAGCCCAACTCAAACTTACGACCAAGGAACAATAACTGTGGACTCTTTATTTTCAGACGGAGGTAACTTAGTTTATTCTGCTCCCACAAGTGCAGGAAAGACACTGGTGGCTGAACTGCTCATTCTTAAAAGAGTTCTGGAGTCAAGGAAAAAGGCTTTGTTTATCCTCCCATTTGTGTCGGTGGTTAGAGAGAAAGTATACTCACTACAGGTAAGCGTAACAGTTGTACGTCATATACTGCATTTACTGGTATACTTTTATATATATATAAATATATATATATATATATGTGTGTGTGTGTATGTGTGTGTGTGTGTGTGTATTCAGTGGAACTCAATAGTCATCCATGAGAATACCATGTCTCTTAAAAATTCATCGTGTTCATTTAGTTTAAATTTTGTGTTTAATATTCACCAGAAAAGTCTATATTCGTCCCTCTTTCAGCGAAGATGGCAAGTCATCAAACAAGGAAAAGAAAATGATATTTGGTTCCAAGTGATGATAAAATTAAATTATAGATATGCAAAATTCGGGGTTTGGAATGGATTCAACCATTTTCAGTTTTCTTCTTCTTCACTACCTCTTTTACCGCTGTGGGTGTCGAGGGAGAATAAGGTTCTGTTTCTAGCTCTTCTGGCCGCCTCGACCATAGGCACATCGTGCTGTTGTAGAGTTTCTCTGATGTTATCCTTCCATCTTGTTCTTGGTCTACCTCGTGCTCTACGTCCTTCTTCTCTTTCCATGTATGCTTTGTATGGTATGGTGTCACAAGGCATTCTCTCTAAGTGGGCAAACCATTTCACTTGCTGTCTTCGTATGTAATCCAGAATTGGTTCTGGGCCGACTTTTTCTCTTATTCCAGTTAATTGCTATGGGAAAAACTCATTTGATATTCATACTTTTTAAAATTAGTCTCCCTCTCCCCCCACCCCAGTAACAGATTAATGACAAATGTTGAAGTTCCACTATGTATATATGTTGTTCTTCATCCATCACAAGTGATGATGACCAGTCCTTTCATCCAATAGTGACTTGATTAGGTTTTGTGACTGTGCAGATAGCTGTTAAGTCGAATTCTAGCGCTGAATGTTCTTGAGCAATGTGAACAGGGAATAGAAGCCGAATCTCTCTGGTGATTTGTTTCAGTGTCTTTCCTGGCTTGTCTTTTCTGAATTACTGCTACAGTTCCAGCAGTTTCATGGGCCACAGCTCCTCAATAAAGAGAGGAGTGCCAGGATGAGCGGTCACATGCAGCGACTTCTCAGGTTTTAGGGTCAGTACAGAAGTCTTTCAGTGAGGTCTTGAGGCTGTCCTTGAAACGTTTCCTCTGTCCACCTTGAGAGGGTTTTCCTTTTAGTAGCTCACCATAGAAAATTCTTTTTGACAGTCGGTGGTCAGGCTGCCAAGCTGTGATTGTTTTAGAATCGAGTAAATACTGGACAGTTCAGCTCTGTCAAGGACTTTAGTGTCCGGGATCCTGTCTTGCCATTTTATATTCAGCAACTTTCTGAGGCATACTGTGTGAAAATGGTTCAGCTTCTTAGCATGGCGCTGGTAAACAGTCCATGTTTCAGATGCATAGAGAAGTAGAGGAAGTACGACAGCTTTGTACACTTTGAGCTTCATCGGCAAGCTGATGCCAGTTCTATTCCAGACTTTTGTACGAAGTCTACCAAATGCATTGCTGGCTTTGGATAACCTTGTATTGATTATGTGTATGTGTGTGGGTGCACGCACACATACACACACACACACAAGCTGTAAATTCCAACCAGTCATGAGCAAGCCTATAATAAGCCTCGATATGAGTTGCTTAAAGAGCCTTATTCTTCATTAGGAGGTGAATGACAGAGGAAATAGGATCAGTAATATGAGGGCTGGGAGTAGTTTTAAGGAATTAACTCTTTGAATGTTTCCAAAAGCTATAGGTCACCAGCAAATGTATGCAGTTGCTTAAGTGAACTATTTTGAAAGAAATGTAAATGCACAAGAAGTTTACAAGAAATGTTTTTAGAACCAGGTAGGAATCTGAGCACTAAATAAAAAAGATGATACATATTGCCTTCTCCGCAGTGAACAAGCAGCAGTCATCAGACTCTTGCACAGGAAGTAACAGGGCTAAAATATTACTTTAAAAAAAAAGGAATAGAATAGATACAATTGAATGTAAATATTTTGTTAGTAAAATGATGGCTAAACATTTACATATTCATGCAAAACAGAGATGATCATTTTGGCCTTCACCCACAACTTTTTAGGATTAACTCTATGGAAATAACAATAAGCTCAAACTGACTTCATCATCACCATGTGCGTTCATGCATGTCTACAGATCTCAGCCCTTTATCTTCTGTATCAGTTCCAGCGAAGATATCCCTCCATATCACCATCACAGTCCATCTGTCATCATCTTTCTCGATCTGCCTATCCCTCTTCCCAGTCATCACAATATTCTCCGAAGCCTCCCCCCTCATTGCATAACCAAAGAACCATGCTTGTCTTTTCCTTATAGCTGTATGTATTGATCTGCTTTCATTAGCTTCCTTCAAGCAATACTTGTTAGTTACTCTGGCAGTCAAAGGGATTCTGAGGGAACACATCTCTGTCGCCTCCAAGTTCTTTCTTATTTGTGCTTTCATAATTAATGTTTCACTACCATACAGCAGTATTTGTTCTACATAACATTTTAGTACTCTCTTTCGGAAATCCAAATAGATGGACCTGTTGCACAAGATGTTCTTCATTCTGTGGCATATTCTGCTCTGAATTTCTGACACACTTCTTCTGTCTGATGTTATGATTGTACCCAGAAAATTGAATTTGATTGTTACTTTCTATCATTAAATAAGGTTCAGTGCAGTTTTCCTATCGTGAAATTATTGTTTTCCTCAATATTTATATTCAGGGTTGACAACTGAAGGTAGTTCTTCTTATCCTCCTTCTTCTTCTTCTTCTTCTTCTTCTTCTTCTTCTTCTTCTTCTTCTTCTTCTTCTTCTTCTTCTTCTTCTTCTTCTTCTTCTTCTTCTTCTTCAGTGATTGTTTGTTATGTGTCTATTTCCATGTTGGTCATAAACAAGACAGTATGGCTGAGGTCTTCACCGGTGCATTGTAGTTCTTATAGGGTTGCTCCTGTAGCCAGATTTCTTCTCTCTGACAGTCAAAGAATTCCTGTAAGTTATGCTCTGCAGTTTGTTTTGATGCAGACAACTTCATGAGGAAGAGTTAGCAAGATCCATTCAATGTAAAGGCAATTGAAGAAGACAAGAACTATAAGAGGAAGAGGAATAGCAGAAGAAAAAAAAGGAAGAGCAAGTAGCAGAAGAAGAATCCTGTAGGTGATAGTCTGTATATGTGAATTTATTTCTCTTATTTTCCTTTTTAATTTCAGCGACTATACCAGGATGCTGGTGTTAGAGTTGGGGGCTTCATGGGCAGCCATTCCCCACCAGGTGGCTTCTCTCACATACACATTGCGGTGTGCACCATAGAGAAGGGCAACAGTCTCATCAACAGACTCATGGAAGAGGGTAAACTAGGAGAGTTAGGTGAGGGGGATTTCTTTTTTTGTCATTGAGTATTTTAACCTGTTCTTCCAAGAAACCCTTGGAGAGGGGGAGGTGGGTCATAAAACTGAATTCCTGAAAAATCTTACTTCTTTTCTTTCTTTTACACAGGTGACAAATTTTTTTTCTCAAAGAAATATATGAATGGGAGTATATGAAAAACAACAGAACAAAGAATTGAAGTGTAAATTCTACCAAGCCTTAAAGAAAAATTCTTTATGACTTATACAGTGAACTGGTCACTATGTGAAAGATAAAGGCCAATTATGATATCATTCCCATAAGCGCTCCGTCCCCGTCTTCAGCAGCCCGTGACGAGTTCCGATACTAATGGCGCCTTTCCTCTGAGCCTCGAGCATCTGCCAGAACCTCTCTTCACTCCCCCTGCATCAATCTCACCAGACTGTGGTGATCCATCCGCTCCTCCGAACTGTACACGCCCTCCCACAAGGCACTAACCATGTCTGCCTTTTCATACACCAGTATTCTGTCCGCCTGTTCATTTCCCAACACACCAGTGTGTCCCGGTGAAAAAATCCAGACCATTATATTAGTGAGCTAGTGGACAGATGATCCTCATTGCAAATGAAACTATTCAGTCCATTGGTACTGGTATCCCCTCCTGGGTAAATCATTATTCTCAAAAACCCTAAAACTATCATGTATCATGTTTGTTGATTTTCAGAAGGCCTTTGACAGCATACACCGCCCTACACTCTGGAAGCTACTCACAATCTATGGTTTCCAAGATAAATATGTCAATATTATAAAGGCCTTCTACACCGATTCCCGCTGCCTTGTTAGAACGGAATCTGGTAACTCTGATTGGTTCCCAGTAGAAACAGGCGTGAAACAAGGATGTGTCTTGTCACCAATGCTTTTCGGAATAGCACTCGATTGGGTCATGCGCAAATGCACACAGGACACACATCTAGGCATCAAATGGGTCGACAAAGTTCTCGAAGATCTTGACTTTGCTGACGACCTAGCACTCCTGAGCACAAACACATCTAGAAGCTCAGGAAAAAATGGACCGCCTCCAGAATATTTCAAGCCAAATCGGCCTTCAGGTCAACGCAGCCAAAACGAAAATCATCGATCTTACCAACGAGTCGAAAGACATCAAACTAAAGGATATTGTTCTTGAAAAAATCACCAGCTTCACATACTTAGGGAGCAAGATAACCTCTGCGGGAGATACAACATCAGAAATAACGACTCGAATCACGTTAGCATCAAGTGCCTTTAACAAACTGTCAAACATTTGGAAGTCAAGATCACTCAGCAACAACACGAAACTTAAGGTCTTCAATTCCTGTGTGATCCCAGTGCTAACTTATGGTTGTGAGAGTTGGAAATCATCAGTATCAATCGATAAGAAACTAGTCGCTTTCGAGAATAGATGCCTCCGAAAGCTATTGAATGTTCACTGGTCGGACTTTAGGTCCAATACATCTATAAGACAGGAAACAAAACAAAAATATGTGTCTGATTTTATTAGAATGCGTCGCTGGAATTACATCGGTCACGTACTCAAAATGGACATACAGAGACTTCCCCACCAAGCCTTCATATGGTCACCAGAGGGTAAAAGAAAACAGGGAAGACCAAAAGAAACTCTCAGTAGAACCATCACAAGGGAGAGCTGAACCATAGGTCTCAGTCGCACTCAAGACCTACATCAAGTGGCAACGAACCGAGGGACGTGGAAAGCTATGACCTCTGCCCTATGCGCCATCTTTGGCACAAGAGGAATAACTAACTAACAGATACCTGAATTGAAACAATGTTGCTGGCTTGTGTATATATATGTGTGTGTGTGTTTTTAAAAAATTTTTGTATAAGCTTAAACTTTCAAATCAACCCCAATCAAAAATGAGAACTAGGAAATGTGCAGGGAAGTCAAGGCAGCTGATGTGATAATAACCATTGGGTGCCACTTGGTGTATATAAATGTGGGCCAGGACACACAGGAAAGTAGTCTTTTACTTATTTTACTTACATTTAAAGGGGACAGCTGAAGACAGTAGAGCGAGTGATGGGGCCTGGTTTCAACTGATAGCATTCACTTTGTAGGTTCTGCTGCCCCATTGTGGGGAAAACAAGAATAGACCCACTTCCTCCCTAACAAGCATGTTGTAAGAAATCACTAATTGGGGGTTTCCTTTGAAGTCGGGGTACATCTGCCTGAGAGGCTCAGAACCAACAGTTTGCATAAAAATAAGTCAGATCGGTAAAATGGATATGCACACAACACACAGGTTCTGGAGCAAGTCTAAAGTCCAGAGGTGAATGAACAACCAGAACTTTCCACCGGAGTTTACAGCCAGTGAACGCGAAGAAGAAGAAGAACAGATAGCATAATCGATTGCATACTATGGTAAACTATGATATTCAAAAAATGACTACAGAGTTAATCAGCATATAAGCACATCAAAAGTGAATCCTTTCCACTGAAATTCACAACTCGTATTGTCTTCTATGGACACACCGCTTGTCTCACTGTCTGAAGTTCATGATAAGTAAAAAATTAACAGTGTCTGCATATCTGTAAATCAAGATAAGCTAGCTTGACATGAGCAAGGCTTATTTTCCAAATGAGGGGTAAAAGCAGAAGGCAAAATATAATTAAATCACGCAGTGTAGTGCAATAAAAGAGACCATGGGTAATTAGCAGTAAGTAATTAAATACAGGACACCTTTTTTTTTTAAACACTAGAGGCACATTGAACATTTTATGCTGGACTCATGTTTTTGAATGGACCAACTCACACTTTAAGAATGATGTGGCTAACATCACCTCAACCACCATTACTTCCCAGTACATTACTTATGTAACCATTGTAGGCTGGGTCGTCTGAGAGTCATTTAAAAAAAATCAAATCAATCTTGATTTGGATTTAAACCCTAAACCTTCATACCGTTAAATGGTGTAATATTTTAAATTGTTTAGAAAGACTGAGCACATAGCAATAAACATATTCTCAAGGACACCAAGACAAAAACATGTTATGAAACGTGTAACATTTAGTGACCAAATCATGAAGACTGGAAACTGTGTATGACGTACAGAAAAGATCATTAGCCATTTTGTTTCATGGTGTTGGCAGGGTGCCAAGAAAGAAAGAGGGGCAGGGGCTGTTGCACAAAGACGAGCGCAGTATGTATGTGACATATCGGTTAGGAAAGTGCAGTAGGTGGGAAAATTAGCAGGAGGCCTAGTTTCTTTCAAGAGGGTTGGGATGAGAGCAGTGTTCTGCAAAGCACCTGCTACGTGATAATGATGCATCATGGTGCTAACAGATGCATGAATTGATGCAGTGCTGTTGGCTTGGGGGGAAGCATGATCACCCATTTTAGTTGGCCAGGTCTCGGTGTTTGGTTCAGTGGCTTTATTTGGGAGGGGGGGGGGGGGAAATAAACCCCACTGCTTTCCTAACAAACATGTAAAAGGTGACCAATTATTTGGATTTTTCCTTCAAATATGGAACGCATCCGCCTGAGAGGTAAGGAACCAACAGTTTGCAAAAAAAATTTTTAAGCGGACGTGTATGGAAAATTCAAGTTTTGGGACGATACTAAGGACCGGAAGTTGCAGAATAACCATAACTTTCCACCAGAGTTTACAGGCAGTGAATGAGTAAGTAAAGAAAAGTAAAGATCCCTTTTCATGTCTTTAGGCGCATCGGGCATATGGGAAAAGCACTCATATTTTTACAGACCAATCGGCACTAGGTTGTTAATGTAATTAGCATTACGCCAGCCGTCTTTAATTCCCCAGGACAAAGATCCTGGTACCCATTTTAGGCTGGGTCGACCGCGACGCTCCGCACAATGATAAAAATCCACGCAGCCAGCAGTGGGTTTCGCTTGCGGTACCCTGGAATTAGGAGTCGGGTGAATGAGTAGCAGAAGAAGAAGAAGTTGGCAAGGCACTTCATAATAATGTTAATGGTTAATGAATATTAAATGTCATATGTCAAATACTGTGTTCAAAGGTCTGGTCTACAGTCTATGTCTTCGTGTAACAGGTGCTGTGGTGATTGATGAGCTGCATATGGTGGGAGATTCACACAGAGGGTATTTGCTGGAACTGATGCTGACAAAACTGGCTTATATTACTCAGAGGTTTGGTAGAAATATTTCTTCTTCTTTTTTTTTTAAATGTCTAATGTCGATTTTTTTCAGTTTTTGGGGGGATTGTGTAGATTTTCCGTTATTGCAAAGTTAAGACATCATCCCTGATCCATGGAATTACCATTTACAGCTTGAACTTTGCTGGAGCTACGAAGTTCATGTGTCCATGCTGTTGCATGATCTCAGAGTTAAGCCTGGTGAAGCATGTTGTTGCTATCTTCAAGTTCAAGATAGGAGACATTGTAACCAACCTCTCATGGGAACAATCTGTTGAAGTGCCTTGGTATGGCTTCTGCATCGAAGAACTGAGCAGTGATGTTGACTGTGATAACAACATTTTCTCTACATAGCAGCTTAGCCTCAGATCTGTACATGTGGCTTCAATTTCAGCGTGGGCTGGATCTTCAACAACTAGCCTGAGGATTCAACTGATGCAGCCTTTAAACTTGCCGGCACTTTTAATTCCCTGCAGTAGCTCACATACGCCTGTGACTAAAACCAGTAAACTATTGTTTAATTTTAACAGGAAGGGGTGATCAGATTGGCTCACTTAATATATATATATATATGTTGTGATCTTCATTTGCATACATATATGGATTTTTATGTAAACAGGTCACAAGTTGGACAGACTAGCGTCAGACATACATACATGCATACATGCATGCATACATACATACATACATACATACATACATACATACATACATACATACATACATACATACATACATACATACATACATACATACATACATACATACATACATACATACATACATACATACATACATACATACATACATACATACATACATACATACATACATACATACATACATACATACATAATACATACATACATACATACATACATGCATACACACACACACACACACACACACATATATACATACATACATACAGAGAGACATACATACATGTATGCGCACACACACACACATGATTTACACCATATATCACCCTCCATAATAGCTAGGGTACATTTGGAGAATGAGCTCTCAATCACCTAAGGGACTTAACATACAGTGCATCTTATCTGAAGTTTGTAAGTTACTGCCATTACCATAACCTGCAATGCCTCTTCTTATCAAATAGAAATTTTCTATATCACATATGAATAAGAGTTTCTACTTTCAGAATGTGTGTGAATATTTTTAGGAGAGACCTCAACTCAAAAATAACTTACGTGATTTTTCTTTTTCTTCGCTCACCAGATGTAAGCTTTGGAGGAAAGACCTGGTTGTTCATTTTGACTCTGGCTTCGTGCCAGGGTCTGAGTTTTGCATGTACATCGTTTTACTGGCTTATTTGTGTGCACCTGGCTGTTCCTTGCCGCTCGGGCAGATGCACTCCAACTTTGAAGCTCCCAGTTAGTCTACTTTTACGATATGCTTTTTGGGTGATCTCAGCAATGTTATGGAACTCCAACCATTCAGAAAGCAATAGCAGACTACTGAATGTAAAAATTGGCTAGTAAAATTACACATAGCAAAAAGATGCTGGGTTTGGTTCAGCAACTTCCTGTAAAGGATATAAAAAAAGATAAGGTAAAAGAACCTATTCCACATCTTCAGGCATATTGGGCATATAGTTCTGGGCCTATATTTTATAGACCAATTAGCACTTGGTGGGTGATGACTTTTCCTGATACCCATTTAAGGCTGGGTCGACTTGGGAACTAAGATCATTTAAAAAAAAAAAAAACCTGCCCTATTCAGATTTGAACCCTTAACCTTGGGATCTGCAGGCCATAATCTAGCCGCCGCACCACGGTGGCTCCCTGTAAAAGATATGCGGCTAACTTTTTGTGTTTTATTTTCTAAAGGTCAAAAGAGGAATCCACCCACTGTCCAGTACAGATCATTGGAATGAGTGCAACCCTGCCAAACCTAGCCTTGCTGGCCAAGTGGCTGAATGCATCACTTTACTGCACTGACTTTAGACCTGTGCCTCTGAGTGAATATATTAAGATAGACAGAAGTATCCTCAATGAACAGCTCGTTGTACAGAGAGAGATTCCGGCTGACCTAATCTCACCTGATGATGCCGACCATGTGATTGCCTTATGTCTAGAGACAGTTGGTGGGGGGCACGGAGTTCTAGTGTTTTGTCCCACAAAGAATTGGTGTGAGAAACTGTGTGAAGCAGTCGCTCGGAAGTTATACACTCTATTTTCCAATAAACAGGAAATTAATAGAGGAACTAAAACAGGTAATTATTTTTTTGCTCTCTCTCTCTTGATTGTTTTTAATTGTAAATCCTTTTTATTCATTTGTAACAGAAAAGTCTGAATGTTTGCGTCTGACAAGGTACAGTGATATCAGTTACAACTTGGCCGCAATCTATCTCCAACACTCTCTTTCTCTAATTATACATTGTCAACTTGTTTATCTGTGTTTTGAAAATATCCAGCTTGTACCACTGTAAACCTTTTGCTTGCCTTTTTTCTTTTTTTAAATGCCAGAAAACAATAAATCAGTTCACAAAGACTAGTGATCCACATGTGAAAGGGCAATCCCCATTCTTTTCATTTTATAAGAGATACCCCTGCTGGTTACAGGGCCCCATTTTTCAGAGGAGTAAGATAGACCCAGTGCCTCCCTAACAAGTGTGTCATTAGAATCGGCAATTTAGGGATGTGTCTTTTCAAAGTCAGAATGTGCTTCCCTAAGAGGTGAGGAAGCACCAGTTATAAAAGTTATAAAATGTATTCCTTTTTTTCCAGATGACACAGACAGCATTAGCATACTGGAATTAAAGATGAACTTAGACAAAAGTAGCCTTGTGGACACTGTAGAGCAGTTGAAGAGAAGTCCAGCAGGGTTGGATCCTATGCTGGGAAAGTGTGTTCTCCAAGGGGTGGCATACCACCATGCAGGTAAAGTAGAGCTTCTCTTAATATCTTGCTTCTGGAGCAGTAATGAAAGTTACTCCTACAGAAAAGAACCAACTAGTAGTAGACCACAAGGCAGACCAAGAAGACAGGGGAGAGATAGTATTCATGCAGACCTACAAAAACTTGGAGTCGACGGATGGACAGAAAAGGCCAATCCCAGAGATGACTGGAAATGGATGTTCTTGTGTTCTTGCAGTAATGAACGTGTAGGGCTTGTGAGCTGCAGAAGACGATTTTTTTGTAGAAATTAGACATAGTCAAATTCTTTTTGACATGTTATGAGGAGAAATACATTTGAAAACTGAATGACAGCTGACAAACTAAAAATAACAAAGGGAATACAAAGGCTTCACATCATTGTCTGCACAGGATAAAAGCACAAACTGAGTCCATGGTGATTTTGTAAGGTGATGAATGTATGCTTATTGGCATAATATATAATGATGATGGCGGCTTTCTAATATAAATTTTTAAAATATGTTCATCTTACTTTGAGTGTGTATGTGTGTTGTTTTTATTTTAAAAATGTTGTGGGTCGTTTTTTTTAAAACCTGTGAATGTTTAAAGTATTTTTTCTACATTATAGACAGTCTAGGACAAATAAAAAGACAAATGAAGATGTCTTGAAAGAAAGTAACTCATAAAGAGAACTGATTGTCCGCATCAGAAAGATACAGTCTGACTCACAAAGAGAAATGATTGCCCACATCAGAAAGATACAGTCTGACTCATAAAGAAAACTGATTGTCCACATCAGAAAGATACAGTCTGACTCGCAAAGAGAACTGATTGCCCACATGAGAAAGATACAGTATGACTCACAAAGAGAACTGATTGCCCACATCAGAAAGATACAGTCTGACTCATAAAGAGAACTGATTGCCCACATCAGAAAGATACAGTCTGACTCACAAAGAGAACTGATTGCCCACATCAGAAAGATACAGTATGACTCACAAAGAGAACTAATTGCCCACATCAGAAAGATACAGTCTGACTCACAAAGAGAACTGATTGCCCACATCAGAAAGATACAGTATGACTCATAAAGAAAACTGATTGACCACATCAGAAAGCGACAATCTACATTCTTTGATGGTGTCATGAGGCGGAGAAAACTGGAGCACACTGTGAGAGTGGGAAAGCTAGAAGGGAAGATAGGCAGAGGGAGACCAAGAGAAAATAGGCTGCACAGTATGATATGGCATGGAAGTTCATCTATGTCAGAGTTGACTAAAAGTACATGAGGCGGAAGGTTGTGGATAGACATGGCTACCAGCGTGACATGGCATGGACTTTAAGAAGAAGACCTTCCTTAGTCTTTTTTTTATCTTTGTTTTATTTTCTTTCTTCCTCTTTTATTTATGTCTGCTCTCTTGTCTCTGCTTCTTTCTCTTTCCTTTCATTCTGAATTTCCTCCTCTTTTCTCCATCACCACTTTCTCTGCAATACTGTCCTTCTGTTTCTGTTTCTTTTTTTCTTTCTCTCCCCCCTTTCCCATAACTTTATAAAGTTTTTGTTTTCAAAGTATGCCTCTCTTCTCAATGCTCACTCTCTCTTGCTCCCTCTCCCTCACTCTTATTTCACTTATCTCTACCCCTTTGTCTCTTATGGAGAAAAAAGGGTTCCAGTGATGACATTCTTTGAATATTTTTCTGAAATGAATAATCAACCTCTTAAAAATAAAACTCTTTACATTTTAAGGTCTGACATTTGATGAGAGAGACATAATCGAAGGTGCTTTTCGGCAAGGTCATTTGAAGATTCTTGTTGCAACATCAACCCTGTCATCGGGTGTCAACTTGCCTGCTAGACGGGTCATCATTAGATCACCAATGTTTTACGGGAAGGTCATTGACACTCTGACTTACAAGCAGATGGTTGGCCGAGCTGGAAGGAAAGGCATTGATACCAAGGGTACTTATATTTGTGTGTGTGCGCGCGCTTGCAAGTGTGTGTTTGTATATATATATATATATATATATATATATAACATGAAGGACAAGCATCAAAACAGAAGATAAGTAAAGTAAAAATTATGTTTCCATACCTTGGGATGAATTTGCCGTATGGTACCAGAACCAAATCAACATTTGACTCTTTCAGCACCAGACAAAAATGAAAAAGTTTTGTAAGCTCTGTTTCGAACAATTTTTAACGAGGTTTCATTTTTAGTTGTGCTGCAGGTTTCAGGAGTACTGATTAGTCCATAGAAATGTGGGGTTAGCACCATATGCCCAATATCCCTCAAAGCATGTTACTGATCACTCCCAGGGTCAAGTCCCTATTTAGTGTCACGTTGAGGATAACTCTGCACACACTGCTTATCACTCCCAGTCAGTCAATTTTTCATAGTCATAAAATGGCTTGTGGCCCTTTGCATTTGGTCTGGCTAAGTGTCTTAATATGCAATAATATTGTGTGTGTACGGCTTGCTTATCATGAGTAAAGGTAAAGGTAAAGATAAAGTCGAGAGATGTGAACCACCGTCACACTGCACTTGGTTATAAACCATAAGTTCTCTGCCACCAGTACGGGCAGCTGATAAGAAACTGTCCGCCTGTGTTGCCGTCCGCATGAAACTCCGTTTTTTACAGTGACATTTCTCCATTTACCCTAATATGATAGAAACCCCCTCCCCCACCAACATAATAAAATGTAATTAAAAAGAGAAGGACAAAACAAAACAAAAAATCCCAAGCACTTAACAAGAACTTGGAGAAAAAACATCAGCATAAAACAGTGTCAAACAACAGAAGAAACAATCACCACCAATTTTTAATTTAGGGTCCAAATATCAGTGTGTGTTAACATTGTTTTTGTCTTGATGATATTTGCCTGGGGAGGGGGGGGGGGGGGAATCAGATATTGGACACTGTCCACATCATGCTGACAAGGCTGTTTTGTTTTCATGTTGAAGCTGAAAATCTGGATTATTACAAGTTTAGATTTTCAAAATTGCTTGATGCCGTCCTGAAATGTTCTTACCAACCCAACCCCCCCTCCCCTCTTTTTACCCCTGCACTTCCTCACCCCCGCCAGCTGTGTGCCTTCTCCCCCCCCCCCCCTTTCTTCCAGGTTGGAGACCACTTAACTAGCAAGACAAGTCAGGGATTAAGTTTTTCCTTCCAGGCCTAAAGCCTGGGCAGTATTGTAGAAACCAGCTGTTACTCTACCTCAGTGCCACTCCACACCCCACAGAGAAGACAAATATGTAGGCAAAGAATTAAAAAAATACTGAGGAATTTAAAGAATTGGATGTTAACCCATCAGTCAGCAAAACCTTTAAAAAAAAAATCTTATTTGTTGGGACATCAGCAGACGAGGTGAAGGAAAAAAGTTAGTTGCCGTCAGAGGCATATCTGTTGCTTAGAGTTAATAATTCTCTCATTCACATATTGCAGGGGAGAGCATTTTGATCTGCAAGCCAACAGAAAAGAATATGGGCAAGAAACTAATGGAGTCAAGTCTGCCATCTGTGAAGAGTTGTCTTCACTTTGACACTAAAGAGGGATTGACTGGGAGTCTCAAAAGGGCAATTCTGGAGGTAGGATGTATTTTGATATCGTTTGATATGGTTTTTTTTTTACCTGTGCTGCTAAATTACATGCTTGGTGCCAACTGTGTGCTGTGTATTTTGTTTGGAATGCCTTTTATCTTTGCTTGCAGTTGTTTTGTCATATTCAGAAAATGTTTGATGGCCACTTCATGTTTCTTATGCATTACTATTGCATTTGTACAGCCAACCTTTCGTGAATGACTACTGCCGATAAATGAGAGATTGCAAGTCTGGTGGAGGCTGTTGTTGTTGGCACCTCTAGCAACAGCCTTATATATTTATTGTCTGTGGATGTTTCAGGATTTTGCTTAGGACACATTGTTCTCTATTTTTTAAATGGGACAGTGAGGAATATCAGTGTGATTATCACTGGTACCGGAATGGAAAAAGTATGGGGTGACCCATGCCAGTAAACTTGAAACCTGGACTAAAACTACTACTTACTGCTTGATATCACTGTCAGATCCTACAGACATAGGGAAACATAAAGCAGACAACAATAGAAGGGAATAATCCAATCAAAGGCTGAAATGCTTGATTCCTTTTAGATTTTGTTTTTATGTAAGATCTTCTTGTTATTTAGCATCTGTTCCAGCAGATCGGTTTATCTAAAGTAATTAATAGTGATGTAGTGTTTATTTATTGCAGTAGATGAGTTGAGTTGAGTCAAGAATTAACACCACAGCACTCGGGGCATTCCCATGCATACTCCGTCTTCATCTTCAGCAGCCAGCGCAGAGTTCCAGTACTAATGGTACCGGTCGTAATCTGGTTATGTGTCTGTCTTTCCTCTGAGTCTAGTGAGCCGGCCAGATCCTCTGGTTACACCCAGGTGCCTCATTCTCTCCAGGCCATAATAATCTTGTTTCGCTTCTGACTCCATTGCTTGCTCCCAGAGTGCCCTGACCACATCTGCCTTGTCATGTATCAGTGGTTCAGATCCAGCCAATCTGTCTGCCTCTTCATTCCCCACCATGTTGACATGGCCTGGAAAAAATATCCAACGTATGCTCACTACCTGGGATCTTCCCAGTGAAGCTTGCCACTCTGCTCAAAGCATCCATGTCTTCATCTTTCTCAGCATGCTTTCAGAGTCTGTTACAATTATGACATGTGTATGCATCTTGTTCTTTAGCCACAGAAAGCTGCAGTTACCGTCTCCACCTCCATTCTCATGCTTGATGTTTTGGTTGCAGTAGATGAGTGTATTCTCCTCAGTGTAGTAGCAGCGATGTAGTATTTGCTTCAGTAGCTCAGTGTATTAGAAATAACAATGATGTAGTATTTGTTGCAGCAGATCATTGTATCAGAAGTAACAGTTTTATAGTATAGCCAATTCTCATCGATGCTCAGATCACCTAGGATGTCATTCTTTTTCTTCATGGTCCATGCTGTTCTTAGAGTTTTTCTTAGTATTTCTGTAGCATTGTTTCATAATCAGCTTTTTTTTTTCTTCTATCTTTGTTGCCATGCAGGTTGTTGTAAGCGGTGTTGCACCAACTCCTGGGGATGTGATTACATACATCAACTGCACTTTATTATCTGCATCTCTGTCAGAGGATACCCAGAGAAATTTGAAAACAGCTCTGGTTGACAGCTGCATCCAGTTTTTGCAAGATAATGAGTTTGTCACTGTGAACATCACATATAATGAAGGTAGAATGATGTGAATAAGTTTCTCATTGTAAATATTACATTGTTTGAAAAGTTTTTCTGTTCTATATAGAGTATATAGCTGTTATGACTTGTCAAAATTATATATATATATATATATATATATATATATATATATATATAGTTGAATTATTATATATATATGTGTTTGTAGGTTCTGGCGCATGTGGATGTTGTTTGTGTGCCCACATGCAGGTGAATTTGTGTGTATACAACAACAAAAGAATCAAGTGCCAAGGTTGGCTGATATGAGACTTTAATGCCATCTTTCCTGATATGAGACTCTAATGCAATCTTTCCTGCTTCTTCCTTGTGCTCTAACATGAACTTCTTTCTATCACATTTTATTTTTTTAAATTAGGCAGAATTTTTTTTTTTTTGGTCTGATTATCCTCTATAGTCTCCTCTTACTGTGACAATTAAATGGGCTCACCGGGAAGGCTAACCCGGTCAACAAATGCCTGCAGAAGTCGAATGTTTGGCCGAAAGGTGCAAATATTGCAGCCATGCTGTAAACGGACACAACGTAATTACATCTTCGGATGAAAGCAGAAGAAGAAGAAGAAATGGGCTCCAAAGAAAGTGACTATGGTATATAGAATATAGTTAGTTGATAATTAATAATAAACTGATAACTGAACGCGAAATAAGGTATATGAAAAGAGTCTTTCTACACTAATGGAACCAGACTGATTAAATAGGAAGCCCACCAAAAATAGACCCTTTATCTTATTAATGAATCAATAATTAATGGAAGAAGAAAATTACAACTAAAAAAAATCTGTTATCATTTATCATCATTTAAGCACAGCCTTCTAAGAATTTCATTTTCTTACAATGTACTAAACTTCTCTGTCTTTCTCAAAATACTTGACCAACAAGGGTTAGTGATGGAAGCTTCTTTTCAGGCTAGCACACCTGATTATATATATTAGTCTGCAGGACATGAGGCTTTCTGCTGTAATGAGTTCTTCAGAAGCACAACATAAATGGTTTGGGCTTGTATCACAACTTGGCATTTACAGATGTACGTAGTCGATAGATAGTTTTCTTTGCTTCTTTTCTACTGGATTTTTTATGGATTTTTGTGTGTTTATCACAAACACTGAGGTACTGGAAAAAGCAGGCATTACAACAGTCTTCTTAGTGCTCAGACTACAAAGGCTAGGATACACTTGAAGAATGGAGAATAGCAGAGTCCCTAAGGACATCCTCTGTGGTGAATTAAAGATGGGTAGAAGATGTTGAGGCTGACCTCTAATGTGATATAAAGTTGGGTGCAAGTGGGACATGAATGATACAGGTACTGAGGTAGAGTCATGAAACTAACTGCCATATGCACAGTGTTGTTTGGAGGGGCACATCAGGAAGGGAATAAGAATGAAGGGAGAAATTATTGCAGAAAGCATGAAAGCTGAGCGTCTGAGAAGAAACAGACTAAACACAAATGCGGACAATAACAGTTCTTAAATCCCATGCTGTAATTGTGGAAGACTTTTCTTAACGCAGGCCTCGCTAGTCACATCCGCCATCGCCATGGGCTGTGAGTCCCATACGTCCTCATTGCCCAGTATAACACTGTCCTTAGGAAAGATGGAAATGTGCCGGTCAGATCATGTCTTTATACAGTATGGAGGCTGAAAAATATAATTCCAGGTGGTGCACAGTGAGAAGATAGCCAGCAAAAGTGAATGTGTATTTTTTGTATATTTTCTTTTGTTTCTTACCACGACATTCTTTCTATCTGCTCAAGCACATTTCTGAAGCTTCAGTTTTGCCCTCACATTGTTTATTCAATGTGTATTTATTGTTTGTATTTCTACATAATATAATATTGTAAAATTAATAATGTAACAATTAAACACTCAGTTTCAATTAGTAACTTATCTGTTTATATGCCAGTGGCTGTTTCTCAACTATCCACCCTTCTTCATTATCTGATATTTTAATGAACTTATGATATCTGCAGCAATGAACCTCAAGGGCTCGGAATGCTGAAGAAGAAGAAGTAATTCACAGCAATTCAGAAAAATCTATGATTAAAAATAAAGTTTCTAAAAAATTTACAAAATTTTCGGGGTTTATTTATTTCTGTTTCACAGATGGCACAGAGATAAGAAAGTTCTACCCCACCCAGCTTGGGTCAGCCATTCTTGCTTCATCACTTTCTCCTGATGAAGGACTTTTGATTTTTGCAGAATTACAGAAAGCTCGCCGAGCTTTTGTCTTGGACACAGAACTACATATTATTTACCTGGTAAATATACTTGGAATTAAATCTCTGTATTGTTAAAACTGCTACTTTCTGTCTGGTCAGGACAGTGACACAATTCTGAATCTATGGAGATTAGGTACATTTTATACAATAGGAATAATTAATATCTATAAAACAGATAGTACTGATGTAGATAGGTTTTCACTGTATGTAGCTAACGAATACAAGGACTTGAAAGATATCTTCCAAACTCTTTCACTGCAAGCCCGCACTCACCGTAGTGTAAGGGACTGATGAGGTGGGTAAAGGTTTTGTGATATTGTAATGGAAATCCTAGTACTATGGATTTGCAGTAGATGGTAGGCAATGCCGAGCTGGGGGAAGACAAGAACATCCTCTTGTGAGAGTGTGTCACCAGAATCACCTGGCTAAGGCTATTCATAGTTATCTAGCTTCCATCACCTCAGCTTCTGACATCTTTCTTCATATGAGGTGTCATCACTTTCCCTCTCCTTTGAATGTACTTATGTACCCAAGCCCCCCCTCACACCCCCATTTTCCTTTAACAATCATGTTACTGTAGGATAACTATTCTAGGCTATGACATTTCCTGTATGCCTTACAATTCCATTGTCTTGAGACCTGCCAATGTAATACTATATAGGTCTATAATTGCCTGTCTCAGCACATGCGGCTGCCACTGGCTTCAGTATAAATCATCTTAAAGATATTCCCTGTTTCCCTGGGTTCCTTAAGAGTTCTGACACCTTATGTTTAAACAAAATTATACACAGAACATAAGCTCTTGGAGATAAAAAGATTCCAGTTATCGATAAAGTTATCATTAAGGCAAATATATATACATTTAAATGGACCATCAAAATACATGAGAATATAACCACAAATAAACGCACCAGAAGCAACAACATACAAGAACCCTAGTTTCTTGGCCCCTTTTCTAAACAGAAAACACTTTAAATTTCACGAGATTACACCTGATGCTACCGGCTAAAAATCTCTGAAAATAAACTACAGGTCCTCTCACACATGTGACTGTTTTGAAAGAGGGCGGAAGAAGCTGGGTTATCAGTAGGATCATGGGAGTTACTTCCTGTGCTTATGATGTCGGTTTCTAATTATAGCCTTTAAGGGTTATCCATCCTTCACAATGTGATATTTATGGTATTTAATGAATATTTGGTATTCTGGTAATCATAGTTTCAGCTTCTTCATAGCAAACGAGTCACCCATAGTTGCTGTGCTCCTGTGCCAACAAAAAGCACACAGAATGTTTATCACAGTCCCTTGTGGAAAGATTAACATACTGCTGTCTCAGCATATGCACTAGCATACACACATATTAAAAGCATACGGTAGCCATCTGAAGTGCTAACATAAACAGTCTGACATAAGAAATGCAGTTCATCTTGGATGGTAGCAGAAGTCACCAACAGATCAGCAGTTGCACACACGATCAATTTTAATCACATAATGCCATTTTATGAATCTACAATTCACACCATCACATTGGTCACAGTAGAAAAAGCTTCCAAAGGAAATCCGCAGCTCACAGTGTCACACCATGCATTCAATTCAGAAGCTGGGTGACAAAACTATCTTTTCAGTCTACAAATGGAGCAAAAATGCACCGGCCACTGTCTGGCAGTAGCGAAAAAAAATTTGCCACGGCTTACAAAAGGGGCCGTGCCTATAGCTATACAGTCATCATTATGCAAGTATGCAGTAAATGGGAATCTTCCCACTGCCTTTGCCCCAAACAAGTATTAGAGAAGAAGAAGAGACTCTTGGTTATTTGTGGCAGAATCCTCTGGTATTAAATGTAAGTAAAAGGACTCGTTTCATGCCTTTCACACCTCAGGCATATCGTGCTGGACCTGTATTTGTATAGACCAGTCAGCACTTGACAGATGATGTGGTCAGCACAATGTGTGTCCTAGTTACTGTGGCTCCCCCTGGGGGAAAAAATATCTACTTGCTGATATCTTTAAAATGTTTGTCAAGTGGTATTTTTTTAAATTTTTACTCAGGGATATTTTTCTGACACGTTTATCAAGTCATAATTTTAATAAAATTCTTTACTCTGTGATGTTTTCCTAATGTCTATAAAATAATAACTGTAAAGTCTTTACGCAGTGATATTTTCCTATGTTTATAAAACAGTAATTTTAAAGTCTTTACCCAGTTATATTTTCTAAATGTTTGTCAAGTGATAATTAGTTGCAATAACGATATTGCAGGTAACTCCAGTATACGCAGCCAATGTGTCCACTTCTGTAGATTGGTATCACTATCACCACCTGTGGGAAACTTTGACCCCTGCTGACCGCAGAGTGGCAGATCTCGTAGGCATATCTGAGTCTTTCATTGCCAGGGCTATTCAAGGTAGAATTGGTGGAAAAACGGAAGTCCTGAGAAGATCACTAGCCATACATCTGAGATTTTATACAGCCCTCATTCTCAACAGTTTGGTATGTTTCTGTTTGTTAATCAAAGTTTTAATTCTAAGGAGTGACTGCAAATATAGAATATTGGCATTGTTAATATGTGAATTCTAAAACATAATTCTAGCTGTATAAATGAATGGGGGTGACATAGTTAATTCTTAAATTACAAGTAACTGTTAGAAAAAAATTGTATAGATAATACCTGAATTGTAAGAAATAATTATGAGGGTTGTTAAGAAAGCAGCACCCCTCGTTTTTTCCTATCATCGAATAATGAAGATAGACACATGAAATTTTGTACACTTGAGATTTGACATGCTGCTGTTGTATGTATGAAATGTTAATGTATTCAACAAAAAGTTCAGCTGCATTAATCTGTTAAAGTGCCCTACCAGGACAGTGTGCATTAGAAACAGAGCAATAAGTTTTTTTTTTTTTTTATTTGTCAGAGAAGGGTATAGGTATATAAGAAATAATTAAAACTTTGAGAAATTAGTGTAGTTAATATGATGATCTCATCAGTTCTTTTTTTTTTTTTTTTTTTTTCCCAGTGGCACATGGGGCTTATGAGAGGACTTTCCGTGCTTTCATGTCCTGTGCAAATATTCAGTGCAGTTTTCCATGTCACAGATGCAGCACTCAGGTCACTTTCCATTGCGCCCCTTCTTTCTCTTTGCCACTGGTGTCTAAGTGAGAGCTGTTTTAGCAGGTATATCAGGATTCATTCTCATAACATGGCCAAGCCATTTCCATCTTCTCATTTTTATCACACAGTCTAGAGTTTCTTGGTTTGTGACTTAAAGTAGGATATTAAGACATTATTCTGTCTATGATAGAGCAGAATAGTTAATTATTGAATTCTCAAACATTCTCCTACCTATAAGAAAACTATGGTTAATATTTGAATTCTAAAATATTTTATTACCTGTACGAGAATTGTATATGCCTTAATTAAAGATAAATTCTAGCTATTAGAGATGACTCTAGATACTGAAGAAATGTTTTACTAAGAAATCATCCCAGCTATAAGAGGATGACACAGTTAATAACTGAATTTGTCTTCTACACTTATTGCCTCTTTGGAGCATAGTCCTTAACTATTCAAGCCAGGTTGTCCTATTCTTTGTCACCTCCTGTAATCATTACAAGTCCCTGCCCACTCCACCCCACCCCTTTTCAGGTTCTAATTCCTATCTCTGTCTTTTTTTGTTTTTTTGTTGAGAATCTGTACAAATTTAGTTCTAGCACTTTATGCCCAGTGAGCCAGAGGCGTGAAAATAATCCTGTGTTTACTGCTTACATGCAGCTTAACAAACCCTTACTGTAAGCTAGGGTTAGCCAACCACTTTTTTTTTTTCTGTGTCTGCCGGCTAAATTTAGAATTACCAGCCCCTTTCACGGGTCATATAGAAACAGTTTATTATAACACCTGGATTTCCTTGCAACACAATATTTTGTGGGATAATCCATGATTTTCTTGCTATGCCTCCGACCAGACACACCAACCAACTGAAGCTCTTTTTTATATTCCTAAATGTGTCTGTGCAAGCTGGTTATTTACAGAAATCAAATTACTGAGAGAAAAATTATTTTTTTAAGGGGGAGGGGGGGGGGGCGGGGGTTATTTTACACTAGCTGCGTGGGTCAGTACAATATAAAATTTGCTCAGTCCTTAGGCCATAGTTTGCCCACCTCTGCCGTAAACAAAACAAAAAAAATATATATATGTATTTTGGCATAGATTTAAAGTAAAACTTATCTGTGACTGAAAGAGTTAAACTAATTTTTTAAAAGGCATCTAAACCATTTTATGCATGTACAAAACAAATAGTACACAGATTACCTGCAATAAATCTTAGGTTCAAGAGTGCCCCCTGATGGAAGTTGCTGCCAAGTTTCACTGCAACAAAGGTCAGCTGCAGTCCCTTCAGCAGTCAGCCTCTACTTATGCAGGTGTGTATTCCATTAAGGATGGGAAACTTGACCGTTCTTCCTGCTTTATCGTCTTTTGTTGTGAGAAAAATCTGACTGACCCCAAAAAATGGGGGAGGTTGGCAGTGCTAGTATAATTTATCACCACCATACATTATGAAATACTGCATGTTGTAGTTGCAATTCTCACTTTCACAAGCAAAACTGAGAAGGAATGTTCTGGTTTACTGCAAACATACATCAAACTTGTCCTCACATCTGTCAGTCTAGTAATGCCACACAAACAAACTGCTGTTGAATCACTGTTCACTGCAAAATATTTTATCTTTCGAGATAAGATGCTGTTTATTAACCAATCATCCTTGATATTCAGATCTTTTATAATTTCTGTATTTCTTGTCTTCTTTATGTATGTCCTTGGGAAGAAAAGACGGCCGGCGTAATGCTGACCACATTACCCACCTAGTGCCACTTGGTCTGTAAAATATATGGGTGCTTTTCCCATATGCCCAATATTCCTAAAGGCGTGAAAAGGGATCTTTACTTTGCTTACTTCTCTTCTTTGCTTCCATAATGAGTTTCTTAGGATAATAATGTGGTGTTTTCTTGCCTCCTACTCATATAAACGGGTTTCATCTGACCTTTGATGGTAATCCCTAAATCCATATCATTACAGCCATTCATGTTAAGGGTTAACCATGTTGAGCAGATTTTCTTCTGAATTTGACTGAATGGACCAGCCTCAAACATGCACATATTAAGTTCATTGCATCTAACAGAGGTGGAGAGAACTGATTAACCAACAGCAACTGGGACACATGGAATTATAATGATGATGATGAAAAGAAAACTCAGAGGAAAGATCGACTTAGGAACGATGATTTCGGGAATAGAGTCGGCAAAAATCCAATACTGAACTTTATAGGTAGACAACAAATCAAATGATTTGGCCATGTAACAAGATTGGCATCAGACAGGGCACAGCAGAGACAGGGTTATACAGATACAATGGTAACAGTGTCAAAGGTTGACCACATAGTATATGGACTGCAGAAATATCAGAGACACTGAAAAGAACTTTATACGAAGCAAACAGAAGGGCCCGTTCCTGATCTCTTCCTGCAGTGACGCAGCGAGGCAGGAGCAGAAAAAAGAAGAAGATGATGATGCTATAAAATACATACATATATTTACAATTGTTATGTCTTTTAGCTATACCGAGCCTAAGGGTTAACAACTCATGGCTTCTGGATGCTTAAAAAAAAAAATTCTTCTAGCTAACTTGGTTAAACCAGCTGCGCTAATGACTTGGTTACAAACTCCTTGTGGTCCGAGTTCACTCTCGGGGGTAGGCAGAAAAGCCAAATATTTCCCCAGATTTACAGTATCTGTCATGAAATCAAAGCCAAAGGGTTGCGATATTCATAGTTTCGAGCCAAAGGGTTTACAACTCATGGTTTCTGGATTCCAAAATTTAAAAATAAATAAAAATCAGTTTAAAAAAAAAATGACTATGACTTATTGGTCCAGACAGGCATTTATGATTATAATCATAGTGTCCTTGTGTATACAGTGCATTCATTAATTTGTGAAGCATATAATCTAAAACAGGATTCTGGCATAAATATATATTACTGGTAATTGCAGATAGACTCGATCCTGTCATCCTCTTGTGGGAAACAATTTTTAGTTATTTTGAAGCCCAACCATGGCTTTTGCCGGGGGCCATAAATATAGCCAGGCCATAAATATGTCACCGGGTGTATATCGCTTGTGTGATGACCTGGTAAAGTACAACTTACATACATACATACATACATACATACATACATACATACATACATACATACATACATACATACATACATACATACATACATACATACATACATACATACATACATACATACATACATACATACATACATACATACATACATACATACTTACATACATACATACATACATTCAATTGCTGATAATTGGGAAGGACGAGAGTAGTCCTATAGCAGGAACAATTGTTAGGGTGAGAGGAAAGAGGTTTTTACATATTCTAGACTATGAGGTTGGGCCGCTAATTCTGTTCTTCCCCCCGCCCACATCATTTTGTCATCCCAGAGAAACTCAACCAATTTCTTAAAATGATCTGATACCAGTTTTTATGAGGCTGGGTAGACTAGTTAAAAATAAAAATCATGCCTTATCTGGGGATTGAATCTGGACCATTATCTTGTCAGGCAAGAGTACTAACCACTGTGGCTATAATGAAAAATAATAGGTTAGTATAAAAAAAGAAGTTGACGAAAAAAGTAAACGATCCTTTTAAAACTGGTGGTGCATCAGGCAAATCTTCCTCTTCATGTTTACCGGCTTCAAACTCAGGAGAAATTCTGGTTGTTTTCCACTTCTGGACTTGAGTCTTGTTTTATAACTTGAGTTTTGCACGCACACTTATTTGACCGGTCTGGCTTATTTGTATACAGACCGCAGGTTCCTTGTCTCTCAGGCAGATACACTCTGACTTTAAAGGAAACACCCCTAACTGGTCAAATCTTACCACCTGCTTATTAGGGAGGCAGTGGGTCTATTCTTTTTCCCCCCATGAAGGGGCCTCAGAACCCACCCGGGGTGCATCAGGCATGTAGTGCAAGATTTATTTTATAGACCAGTCAGACTATGTTGTGTAATATCAGCATCATGCTGACCGCCTTTACCTTCCAGGACATTACCTGTTACCCATTTTAGGCTTTGAAGACCTGGGGAGTCAATGCCAGTTAAAAAAAAAAAATTTTAAATATACTTCAGTGTGGATTTGAACACAAGGCTTTCATGCTGGTATAAGTTAGTTAAATTATTCAAATATGTATACATTTTTCAAATCTCTTTCACTAGGAATGATCACAGTCTTTTGTGGTCGTTTGGGCTGGCACAATCTGGAGCTTATACTTTCACAATTTCACAAGCGGCTATCATTTGGTGTGCAACAGGAGCTAATAGATTTAGTGCGTATCTCAGCTCTGAATGCAACCAGTGCAAGAATGCTGTACAATGCTGGATACCACACAGTTACTGATGTTGCAAGAGCAGAGTCAGCAGATATTGAAAACCTCTTCAAAAATGCTGTTCCTTTTCAAAGGTTTGTTTGAGGTTATTTTTAATCCAGATAATCCCCTGTGTGGGTTCCGGGGTCCCATTGTGGGGGAAAACAAGAATAGACCCACTGCCTCCCAAACAAGCATGTTGCAGGAGTCGACTAACTGGGGGGCTTCCTTCGAAGTTGGAGTGCATCTGCCCGAACAGCAAGGAGTAACCAACTGCACACACATACGCCACTAAAAGGGATGTACATGCAAAACTCAGGCTCTAGCACAAAGCCAATGTCTAAATAGACGAACAACCTGGACTTTTTTCCCGGAGCTTACAGCCAGTGAACAAAGAAGAAGAATCCGGATAAAATATTAGCATAAATTGTTTAGGTTTCTATTGGTGCTACTTTTACTTAGAGTTGTTCCTTTTATTCTTCATTTTTCATTTTTCCTACAGCTTATGCAGTAGAGCGCCGCAGAGAAGTTAGATGTAGTTTTTCTATCTTTTGTTACTTGTGTAGCTTGTGTTAATGTCATATTGCCTTTCAGTATTGTCTCTTTTACTCCCTCCACCCATCTCTTTCTTGGTCGGTCTCTTGCCATGTAGTTTTCTCACATAGTATACTGTAGCTGCTGGCTGATTTTGTTCCATTCTGATTAGAAGACCCAAACCATTCGATTTTTGGATGTTCTGTAAAATCATGTACCGGTACTGTGCCTACCATTTTGTTACCTTTGTACAGCCTGTAAATGGGGTTGTTGAGGAACTAGTTACCCATGTGGATTCTGGGGCCTCATTTTGGGGGGGAAAAAAGTAGACCAACTGCCTCTCTGGTAAGCATTTTTTGAGAACTGTTTGGTGCTACACCTGCATGGGAATACAAGAAGTCAAAATAAATCTTTGCTCCCAGGTTGACTCAGTATACAGTGAGCAGCAGGAAGAAGTTTAAGATTTATAGAGGGATGGATTAATGTTAATCATAAGCACTCATCAAGTGCCAGGTGATGTAGTAATATATGAGGATACAGCATATGTCCAAAAAAGGTCCTCTGTTGAAAATATGATGTGATTAATTAGTTAAATTAGATAGTTAAGCACTGCCGACCCAATATGAAGGAACTAGGCATGGCAGAATGTTTAGCTTCAAAGTTATTTTGGCTTCTGACAGCACTTGGCAAATGCATTTTCCATATATGGATGGAAGTCTACGATTTCCGTGCCTAAGCTACTGAGTTAAGTGCAGCACTGTGAGTTCGTTTTTCATGTGGAATGCCTTTCATTTGTGTATCAAGAAAAGATACAAACCCGAACGAAAAGTATATTAGCAAGCTTCACAATATAACAAATACAAACAAAACGTGAACGCTGCGGCTATTGAGCCTTCATCAACCCACACAGAATAAACAATACTACATAGATACAAAAAAATCACTTAGCTGGTGTCACGATGCGGTTACGTCGGTTGTTTCAGCAGAATGACAGCAAGTGTCAGCTGGGGGAATAAATACCCCCCTGTGGAGTATCAGGGGCCATAACTAGGGTGTAGGGGTTGAAACTGTGAGGGCAGTTCAATCCCCTGGAAGTTTAAATGAAACTGTGTTGGCAATTCATTCCGGAGGGCGTCAGAGTCTCCAGAGTATAAATAAAGCAATTCTCAAGAGACATGCGGACTCTTTCATTTGTGTAGCCTTTAAGTCCTGGTATTCAGTTTGGCTGGTAGCTGGTTTACGTGTGGGCTGGTCAAATACTTTGTGTAATAATTTTATGTGCGCATGAACAACTTATTGTGACCGACTACTTCCATTAACGACAAACTGCATTTCTGTCGGCGACTGTTGGCTTTGGCCCCTCTGGCAACTGCCTTATGCATTTAATGCGTGCACATATTTCTGGATTGTGCCAGGACTAATTGTTTGTTCAAGAGTTATTTCAAATGGGTTGGTAAGCAACACTTCATTTGACTGGCACTGGAATTGATCGAGTATGGGGTGACCCGATTTCAGTGAAGATGAAACCTCAACTAAGACTAAGTTAGTTAATCGACCGATCATCCTCACCACACATCAGACAATCATTTGAAATGATATTGATGTCTATGGTATTAAAAGTAAGTAGGTAAAGGACCCTGTTGATGATTTGGTGCATCTGCACTCATTAGATGATGTCAGCATCACACAGCCACCTTTACTTCCCAGTGTATTACCTGGTACCTATTTTTGGCTGGGTCAACTTGGAGGCCAAGGTTAGTTGGAAAAGCAAAATTCCACTTTGGTGCTGATTTGGAACTTAGATCTTTGTGTTGACAAGTGTCTAGTGACTAAGCTTACTGCAGCACCCACACACAAATTGACTGTGTTAAAAATGTGGGATGGTGTCAATGTTTATGATATTAATACGTTATATATGTTTATATTTTGTAGTGAGAAGCGACAAGATGGAGAGACAGACTGGGAGCTGAAGGAACGTCGCCGTGCCCGGTGTATCTGGCTGACAGGAAGAAAAGGTGTCACAGAGCTTGATGCTGCCATGGCAATTATTGACGAGGCCAAGGTTATAGTTCAGGGTGATTTAGGGGTTAGTGACATAGTCTGGGGAGCAAAGAACAACATGGAGGAAGAACTGAATGCAGATGAGGAAGAGAGTTCAGTTACCGAGGATTATACAGAAGTTTCTGGCACTAAGGAGTTAGGAAATCAGAATGTTCAGAAAACACCTCTTAACCATAGGTCACAGTGCTGTGATTTTAAAATGAAGGGAAACACAGTAGGCACTGAAAGTAAGAACACACATAATACAGGTAATGAAGGCAGAGAAATGCCAAAACAAGAGGAAGAACTTAGCAGTTCTGTTGGAAGTAGTCCATCAGGTCATAGGCAGCTATGTGCAGATCTGACACAGAGAAAGTCTCTGTCAAACAACCGGAGAAATAGCAACATTAGCTTCAGGAAGAGTTTTAATCATAGTAGAAGTAAAGACAGATCGTTCTTCGGCCAGGTTGTTGTGAGTCCCCCAGTGAGTGTCAGGGTTCAAGTGAATACTCCTCTTCATAGCTCTGTAAGTGAAAGAACTGCATGTGCTAAGGTCACCTGTGAGAAGACCACAACAGTCATTCAGAAGAAAGATACTGCGGATGAAAATGAGAGGTCAAGGGAGGCTACTCTACAAAGGAAAAATAGACATGATTTGCAGTTAATAAAAGATGGAGATGCTATACCATCAATGTCTTTTCACTCTGGTTCTGCTGCTGTTGCAGCTGCCGTTATAAATACATCAAGTGTTTCAGCTATACCTTTTGTTACTGAATACACCAAGAAATGTTTAGTTGAGACTCCTAATGTATCTTTCCAAGTGATGAATTCAAACAAATTAAAAGAGGGGACATTCGTTGATGATAGTATTTTTTTGGCTGATGATAGTATTTCTTTCAGTGACAGTTTCAACATAGACACCCAGACAGCAAATATTTTCAGTCATAATGGACAAGAAGCAGAACATAAGGAGCAGACACATGCAAAGTTGAATAATGTTAGTTCTCCAACAGGAAGGTTCAAAATCTCAATTTCAGAATCAGATGCAAGATTTAATCAGACATCAGCAGGTTCAACAGTTAATAAGCTGATTAAAAATACTGACTGTGTCAGTGCTGCAGTAACTGCTGCCCCTTCCATAGACAGTATATATAAAACCTTGGCTTCAGATTATGAACATGCAGGGCAAAACACACCACTGAAATCTGACCTAAATATCAGCTCTGAAAATGTCAATAAACATCTTTCAGAAACATTATTTGATTCAGCAGAAAAGCTGCCTGTGCAAAATCCAACTACGTTTATTGGAAGTACTCCAAAGAGGTCGACAGCAAAGTCAGTTCATTGTCTTCAATATCACCTTGAAAATGTGGTAGTAATGAATACAGCAGTTGCTTCAACTTCAAGAAAGTTTAGCCATGAAGCTAAAGAAACTTGGCCTTGGTCTGTTATGCAGTCTGAAAGAACGACAAATAAGAACATAGATTACTGCAGTGATGAAGAAGATATATGTACATCACTAATTGCAGCTAGCAATTTTGAAAGACTCACACATTTAGATGAAGGAATTTTAGAAGAAAACACACATGAAGAATTAGATTTCTCCAGTGCAGATTTTCATATAATTGATACAGAAGTTGATAATGTTCCAGAGAACAATCCTGTTGACTGTAGCGAGAAGAACGGCCATGGAAGGATCCTGAGAGATGGCTCTCATCTGGATTCTGAGCATGTAGTTTCATGTTCTGAAATTGATGATGCAGCAAGTATAAGTGGTAGGTTGTTGCAATTACACAAAACTGTTCCTCGGAATTCAACTCCAGTTGCTGCTGTAAATGTTAGAAGGCAGAATTCTCAACGTGTTCAACAGACTGATTACATATGTAAAGATCAAAGAAATAAGCAGTATTTTGGAGAGAGCAAACAGATAAATAAAGAAGAACAGAGTGAACAAGGTCTTACAAAGACAATCAACCCAACAGGACCAAGCAGTGGATCAGGGATAGATACCTGTTTTTCTGATTCTTTTAGTTCCTCTCTAATGGATAAAATAATGGCAGAGTGTGAGTTTGCATCAAAGTCTCAGGAGAGGAAACATTGTGAATCTCATAAGAATTCTGCTGTAAATTTCAATGAAAACTACAATATTTCTAAACACAGCTTCACATATGGAGAAACTAATATTGACAGCAGCTTAAATAATACACCCACAGGAAACCGAAAACATAGCATCGAACCAGTATCTAACAATTCATCAGTAAATGATGGAAGTGACTGTGTTCCACCGACTCCACCTGATAAATCACTCACTGGTCTGTCATCATTTAAAGTAACCTTCTTTTCTCCATTAAAACCAAATATTCCAGGGACATGTGACTCCATTTTGATACCTAAAAGAGCAACTCCTAAATTCATTACCAATATAAAAGACAAAGAAAACTTTACTATCATTAAAGACCCAAAAAATAAAACTGCATGTCCCTTGAATAATGTGGACAATCATACAGTTCACCAGGTTTCAGAAAAATCCACAGCAGATTGCCAGTTTTCTAAATGCATCCAAAGCTCACCTTCTACTCACAAACGTACTCATGAGAAAAACAAATCCAGTGTCAACCCTTCAGAACCAGACAGTGGTCAGAATAATTTGTTTGAATCTGTATTTCCAAATCACAGTCAGCGCTCTTCTATAATGCTTACGCAGCAGTCGTTCACAATTATTGATGTCTGTGCCAACAGGCAGCTTTTTCAAACATTTCTTGCAGAGCTCAAGTCGCAGCCATACTATGCTCTTTCTGTCGCATGTGAAAAGAAACCACCTGAAGGGCCTCAAAGAAAGGCATCTGAGATTGGTGGCAAGTTTATCAGAAGTAAGTAAACTATTTGTAGTTAGCTTGATAAGGGTTCAGTTGGGAGTACACTATTAAATATATGAAGCCAAGACTGCATGTATGAATGTTAGGACTTGAATGTTGAAAATGTGTTGCACAAGGTTTTGGCAATGAATAGGGAGAATGGAGAACAACATGGTTGATGACAGTTGGCAGCTGGAAAACAAATTATAATTTTGTTTGAGCATACTAAAGAAATCTGGTTACTCATATTTACTTTCAGCACACTGCATGTTGTCTCTGTGAAATTAAAACACTCCATTTTTTTTTTCCTCTTTTTTGTTTGTTTTGGGGTTATACACATTTAAAAGGTATATTTATAAATAATCAAACTAAATAAATGTACACTTTCAGAGAAAACTTCTCCATCAGTATGCAAATCTACAGTGGCAGTTGGTATACCAGTTCCAGACAGTGATGCATTTATTGTTGGCTTGGCTTTCTCCTGGGAAAACAGGGATTCTTACTTTGTGAGCCTCATGCCAGCTGGCACTGCCTCATGTGTGTATAGCTGTCTTTTTTCTTTTTTGAAAGGCAGCAGTAGTATTATATCATATTTCATATTACATGTTAATACATTGGTTTGTTTAAAAAAAATATAACATCATTTTAGTATATATCTTTTTCAGTACATTGTGTTTGAGAAATCAGGAGTTTACTGGGATTTATTTGGGACATGAGGAGTTTTCTGGCTTGTCTTTGAGAAATTAGGAGTTTACTGGCCTGTGTTTGGTAGCATGTTGTCTCTGTGAAATTAAAACACTCAACTTTTTTTCTTCTTTTTGGTTGGGGGTTACATACATTAAAAAAAGTATATTTATAAATAATCAAACTATATATATTTGGCAAAAGCTAATCCCTTCTTCTTCTTCTTCTTCTTCTTCTTCTTTTTCTTTTGTTCACTTGAAATAAGTTATCTATATCTGCAATGTTGTCTCTAGTATGAACTTCACTGTCTTTTGTAATTCACTCAGTGACCGGAAAAGTTTGGCTTGCACCAGTATTTCTCTTGGCTAATCCCTTCTGAATATCTTCTTTTTGTTAAACAGGGTTATTTCATGTGGATTACCTGTTTTCCATCAGAGAGGGTTTTCCCCCTCAAGTATTTTTGCTAATTTACTGACTTTGACCTCTGAGGTTATTAACCTCTGGAAAGGCCTCTAAAATCGAATATAGGTGTCCTTTGCTGTCACTAGGACTCTGTCTTCTAATAATTTATTATTGGAAAATCTGAGTGATTCCGATCTCTTGGTTAAACTTGCTCATTTACAATGTTGCTTCTGAAAGCTCAGAGTTCAGTTTGTTTCCTGTCCTTTTGGTGACTTAGAGTTAAAGTTTGTTGATCTCTACTTATTTTCCTTGTTGCACTCCTTGTCTCCTTAAATGGCAGTGTTTTCCATGGCCACACATAGGATGCTAGACCCAAATTGTTATAGGTCAGTAGGTAATGTGATACCTTTACACTGGCTGAGTTTACTTCCCAGGACATTACCTAGTACTCATTTTAGACTGCATCGACCTAGGAGCCAAGACAGTGCTGACAAAATTTGACCTCTGCATATTGAAAGTCAAGACCTTCGAACTGTCTAGCCACTATTTTGTTATGGCTTCCAGCACCACTATCTTGGTATCCATGAAATAATTGAAGGCTTTGTTATGCCATATTAAAACAACACAGGAAAAATACTTGTTTTTTTGTTTTCTTTTGCCACCTACAGTAGAATCTCACCCAGATGATACGTTAGCTGAGCCTCCGCTTGATGAAACAGTGTCGCAGCATGAGAGAGTCACTTCTGTTTTAGCGGTGCTGGGTCATCAGTCAGGTATTTGTCAGTTTTTGAATTCATTTCTTTCAGTGTTGTGATATAAATTGTGTTAATTCTGAATACTGAACCCCCCCCCCCCCCCCCCCAGTTCCGGCTCCTCATTTTAGGGGGGGAAATAGAATAGACCCACTGCCTCTCCCACTAATAAATCATGTCATAAAAACTGACTAATTACAAGTTTGCTTTAATCAGATGTATTTCACTGAAAGGCGCAGATATCACAGTCTAGCTGTAAACCACAACACTTTGTCAACCTTTCAAAGGGTGATTTCAGAAGAAAAAAATATTGAATATTTTTTTTTTTGGTATTGTTGAAGCTATGTTAATTCCTTGTATCTGGTCATGATCTTATTGTGGAAGTCATACTAATCCTAAATGTCTGTTCTTGGTATTTGTTGCATAGGCTAACTAATTCTGTGTCTCTTGTTTTGACTTTATTGCAGCAGCTACACTAATACCGTATTGGTTATGTTGGTACTGCAACAGGACACTAATTCTGTGTTTGTTCAGGATGTTACTGCAGCAATCACACTAATTATGTGTTTGTTCAGGATGTTACTGCAGCAATCACACTAATTCTGTGTTTGTTCAGGATGTTACTGCAGCAATCACACTAATTCTGTGTTTGTTCAGGATGTTACTGCAGCAGTCACACTAATTCTGTGTTTGTTCAGGATGTTACTGCAGCAATCACACTAATTCTGTGTTTGTTCAGGATGTTACTGCAGCAATCACACTAATTATGTGTTTGTTCAGGATGTTACTGCAGCAATCACACTAATTATGTGTTTGTTCAGGATGTTACTGCAGCAATCACACTAATTATGTGTTTTTGTTCAGGATGTTACTGCAGCAATCACACTAATTATGTGTTTGTTCAGGATGTTACTGCAGCAATCACACTAATTATGTGTTTGTTCAGGATGTTACTGCAGCAATCACACTAATTATGGGTTTGTTCAGGATGTTACTGCAGCAATCACACTAATTTTGTGTTTGTTCAGGATGTTACTGCAGCAATCACACTAATTATGTGTTTGTTCAGGATGTTACTGCAGCAATCACACTAATTATGTGTTTGTTCAGGATGTTACTGCAGCAATCACACTAATTATGTGTTTGTTCAGGATGTTACTGCAGCAATCACACTAATTATGTGTTTGTTCAGGATGTTACTGCAGCAATCACACTAATTATGTGTTTGTTCAGGATGTTACTGCAGCAATCACACTAATTATGTGTTTGTTCAGGATGTTACTGCAGCAATCACACTAATTATGTGTTTGTTCAGGATGTTACTGCAGCAATCACACTAATTATGTGTTTGTTCAGGATGTTACTGCAGCAATCACACTAATTATGTGTTTGTTCAGGATGTTACTGCAGCAATCACACTAATTATGTGTTTGTTCAGGATGTTACTACAGCAATCACACTAATTATGTGTTTGTTCAGGATGTTACTGCAGCAATCACACTAATTATGTGTTTGTTCGGGATGTTACTGCAGCAATCACACTAATTATGTGTTTGTTCAGGATGTTACTGCAGCAATCACACTAATTATGTGTTTGTTCAGGATGTTACTGCAGCAATCACACTAATTATGTGTTTGTTCAGGATGTTACTGCAGCAATCACATACATTTTTTATGTTTTATCATGGTGTTACAACAGCAGTCACACACATACTGTATGTTTGTTCATGGTGTTACTGCAGCAACCAAACTAATTATATATGTTTGGTCATGGTGTTACTGCAGTAACCTAACTAATTATATATGTTTGGTCATGGTGTTACTGCAGTAACCTAACTAATTATATATGTTTGGTCATGGTGTTACTGCAGTAACCTAACTAATTATATATGTTTGGTCATGGTGTTACTGCAGCAACCAAACTAATTATATATGTTTGGTCATGGTGTTACTGCAGCAACCAAACTAATTATATATGTTTGGTCATGGTGTTACTGCAGCAACCAAACTAATTATATATGTTTGGTCATGGTGTTACTGCAGTAACCTAACTAATTATATATGTTTGGTCATGGTGTTACTGCAGTAACCTAACTAATTATATATGTTTGGTCATGGTGTTACTGCAGCAACCAAACTAATTATATATGTTTGGTCATGGTGTTACTGCAGCAGTTTTGCCAGTTTTGTATTAGTCATTGTGTTATTGCTGCATTTAAAATCTTCAGCTGGCTATTATAGTATGCATATGTTTTGTTGTAATAATTTTAGCTCTTCTTTCAGCTGGCAACAAACAAACAATTGCAGTTTACGATAGCAAGGCTGCTTATGTTTGTCTGGCTAAAGCACTTGGGCTTTCCTTGCCTCAATGTGAGGACCCTTGTGTTGCTGACTGGCTAAGAGAACCCGATGCCAAGCTGAAGAACCTTCATCACATGGTAGTGACTTACTGTTCTGAGGAACTTGGCTTGCTGGATGGTTAGTTATTATACAGTTGAATTGTATCATATTTAATATGTCCTTATCCACAGTTGTAAGTTTAGACACAATTATTGTTTTTCTTAAACGGAAAGGACCTTTTCCAAGCCAGCCTTTGGTGCATCGGGTGTAGAGTGAGTCAAAGTAAAGGAACTTTTTCCATGCCTTCAGCCATAGTGGACCTTTAGTGCTAGACCTATATTTGATAGACCACTCGGCACTCAGTGAGTGATGTGGTCAGAATCACACTGTCGGACATAGAGTGACTTATACCTGCATTTTATAGACTAGTCTGCACTCAGTTGGTCATGTGGTTAACATCTGTTTACTGCCAGGTCATTACCTGGAACCCATTTTGGGCTAGGGTAATCTGGCAGCCAAAGTTGATGTTTTTTTAAATCCACCTCTGTTTGTGATATTTAATGTGGCCTTATCCAGAATTGTGCTGTTTGTTAATTCATGTTGTAGTATGCATCCTCTTGTTTATGTTCTCCTTGACGTGGCAGGGGTGCTTACAAGTTTCATTCCCAAGAGGTACATGTAGGGTCTTCCGTGTCAAGCAGGACAAAGCCCCCTCTAATGTATCTCCACCTTGAGGTGGGAAAGGGTTTATGTGTTCTAATGTTCCTAGTGAGCTATTCCTCTGATAGTCTTATCTACTGATGGGGTTTTCCACTTCAGACAGGTCAAGAGCTGTGGAAGATAAAGTCAGACACATAGGGCAAATACAGTGGCGGATATATAGTTTGATAGACAAATGATAAGCATAACCCAGACAAATTAAAAAAAAAAAAGAGTATTAAAAAATGAAAGAAACTGACTCATGAAGAGAACTGATTGCCTACATCAGAAGGAGACAATTTATATTCTTTGGTCATGTCATGAGAAGGGGAAAACTGGAGTACATCGTGATTTGGGAAAGTTGGAGGGGGGAAAGAGGCAGAGAAGACTGAGAGAGAAGATGTTGGACACGTCATGGAAGATCATCTGTGTTGGAACTGATAGAACATGAGGCAGAAGGTTGGGGATAGACATGACTACCAACACCACACAGCATGGACTGTAAGAAGAAGCACAATATGCTCAGTGAGCCATAGGTGTGAAAAGGATACTTTTCTTTCCTTGACTGTACTTACTGTGAAATCTTTACTTGATTAAATGTTGAATTTCTTCATAGCTGTTGGTGGCATAGCTGGTTACCAGAGCATGGGCAGTGACATCAAGAGTCGAGTGAATGGAAGACTGCGGGCTTGTACAGAAAGTGTCCTGACACAGAAGCTGATGAACAGATTTCACGGATTGTTGACAGATGAAAATTTACTGACTGCGTTCACTGATGTGGAAATGCCTAGCATAGTGACCTTGGCTAGAATGGAGCTCAATGGTTTTGGTATGTTGTGTAATTTTTTTGGGCTCCATATTACCTCTAATATTTTTTTTTTTAAATAGACGAATAATGAGAATACCAATGGGCTGATAAAATAAGAGTAATGAAGATGTCTTGAAAGAAAATGACTCACAAAGAAAACTGATTGCCCACATCAGAAAAAGACAATCTACATTCTGGGTTCATGTCATGAGAAGGAGAAAAACTGGAGTACATCGTGATGGTGGGAAAGTTGGAGGGTAACAAGAGGTAGAAGGAGGCCTAGAGAGAAGATGCTGAATAGTTTGACATTAAGGCAGAATTAATTGAAAGAACACGAGATAAAAGGTTGGGGACTACCAATGCCACACAGCATGGACTATATGAAGATGAAAAGTTCATAACTTAAAAAAAAAATATTCTAAGTAACATGTGAAGTATAGGTCAGCCTAGTGAAACAATGGAGATCATGAAATTGTTCTAGCATGTGAAGGCAGTGGATTCAAAGGACAATCAGTTCATGACAATTCCTGCCCAGGTGATGTGACTATCTATACAGATGGAGAGGTAGGAAAACATACATGGGCTACCATTGTAAAAGAGAATGAATGTAATTTAGTTCAACAAAACCTAGAATATGATACCACAACATCCAGTGTGAGAATGGAGGCGGAGGTAGTCATAGCAGCTTTTAGCTGTCTTGAGAATCAGCTGCACATACATGTTTCTATTGTAACAGAGTCACAAATCAGACTGAGTTAGGTGGAGAGGCATGTTCTATGCAGAATGGCAAGTGTTGCTTCAAAGGTCCCTGCCTATTAGCATCCTTTGGATCTTTTATCTAGAGCATACAGTTGTGTTGGAAAATGAACAGTAAGATAGATTAGCTGGTTCTGCACCACTGGGTGGTGAAATGATGCAAGTTAAGCTAGATGTGGTCAAGGCCCTTTGGCAGCAACTGAACAGTGCAGAAGTAGGAACTGTTCATAACGTACTGATAGAAGGATGCAGTGGGAGTGACCAGGGGATCTGGCCGATACTCCAACTCTTGTGGGAAAGTTCCAAATGCTCTATTGTGAATTTCTGTTGAACCCAATTTTTTTGTATATTCATTGTTTATTACGTTGCAGGAATCAGCGAGTCAGAGATTGACAGGCAGAAAGCCTTGTTAACTGCAAAGCTGAATATTCTTGAAGCACAAGCTTACCAGATGGCTGGGCATGTGTTCTCCTTAACTTCAACCACTGATATAGCCACAGTTAGTGCTTATTTTCCACTTGCTTTGCTTGTGAAATGTAACTTGCATTCTCTTTCAATATAAATTTAATAGATAACATCCTTATTGAGTGCTTTACCATCTTTGCCATGTAATAATGTCACCCCACAGCCCAGTGTCTTGCATTGTAACTTTCACATATTAACATCTTTCCAAGCTATAATGCTAGGTTGTTGAGTTTTTTATTTCCCCTCTTTCTCCCCCTTTTTTCTTCTTCACTAATTCTTTAAGCTGTTACAATTCTTCTTCTCCTTTCATTCGCATGAAATAAATTATCTATAGCTGCAATGTTGTCTCTAGTATTTACTTAACTGTCTTATGTAATTCACTCAGCGACCCATAAAGTTTGACTTGCACCGATATTTCTCTTGGTCAAAAGTTTTGCCTTGATATGTTGTATTTGGGACAGTTTTGGAGGTCGTGATCTGTTGTCTCAGGTGCCAATCCACATGTGCACATGGCTGATTCACCAATTTTAAATTTTTTGTACATATGGCTGTGAAGTTGATTGTGTCCTTTTCTAAGGTGTAGAATAATAACTTGCTATGGTCTGTCCATAAAATGGTAATCGTCTTGTGCCCATTTTGGTGGCTTTCTGATTGATTTGATTATTCTGTTCTTTTGCTGATAAGAGACTGGTACAATATTACTGTTACAATATATTTTAGGTTTTTCTTTATATATGGCCAAAAAATGCTATAAAATATAGTTTAGTCAATTTGCTTAAAATCTGCTTGACCTAAGAATGTTGACTGTTTCCTTCTGATATCTATCGATAAGAGGCTCGCTTTCAAATTCAGCTGCTACCTGCTGCAGCGCACGGTTGGTGTTCGAAACCGGGCGGCTCCCGGGGTTCACCCAGCCTCTAGGAAATGGGTACCAGAGTTGACATTCTGGGGTAAATGGAGGAACGTTGCTGGGGGAGGGGGGGGGGCTTTTCTTACATACTCCCCCCCCCCCCCCCCCCAACATGTTTTCCTGTATGTGTATTTCCAGGAAGGCTAACCCAGGCAACAAATGCCTACAGAAGTCAGATGTGCAGGCCAAACGGCACAGGCACAACACTTCTACGTGTTCGGTTGAAGGCAGAAGAAGTAAATGTATTTAGATGGGAAGGGGGGGGGGGTTGAGTGAGAGTGTGAGAGAGAGAAAGACGGAATGTAGAAATACCAGGAAAGTTGTGAAAGGAAATGGGTACCAGAGTTGACATTCTGGGTAAATGGAGGAACGTAGCTGGGGGGGGGGGAGGGGGGGGGGGCTTTTCTTACTTACCCCCCCCCCCCCCCACATGTTTTCATGTATGTGTATTTTCAGGAAGGCTTACCCAGGCAACAAATGCCTTCAGAAGTCAGATGTGCAGGCCAAACGGCACAGGCACAACACTTTTACATGTTCGGTTGAAGGCAGAAGAAGTATATGTATTTAGATGGGAAAGGGGGGGGGGGGGGGTTGAGTGAGAGTGTGAGAGAGAGAAAGACAGAATGTAGAAATACCAGGAAAGTTGTGAAACTGCATATCTTCATTATAAAATAACAGTTGACTAAAAAAAAAGATATAATGCTTGTTTGCACAACATTGGACCCACAGCTGTGTGGTGGCTAGATGTTTTCCTGCCAGCCTAAAGGTCTTAGGTTTAAATCTGCATAAAGATAGATTTTTTTCTTAAAACTGACCCCGTTTCCAGGCTGACATAGTCTATAGTAATTTCCAGGTATTGTCCTGGAAAGTAAAGGTGGCTGGATGATAGTGACCACATCACTTATCAAGTGCCTGATTGGTCTATACAAATATAAGTCTAGCATTAATGATATTCTGCTGTGTCACCGGTTAAAAATAGTCCTTTAATTACACACCTAACTTACTCAGGTTCAGGTGTAAGACCAGTATTTCTATCTCCAGACAGCACCTTTGAACTGATATATTCTGTCCTACCAACATCATTGTCGGCGTCTATGGCTTAGGTGTTGCGAACACACTTCCTAATGCCGGGTTCGATCCCAGCTGCGGATGGTTTGTCTTGTGTTGGTTTTGACAGTGGAACCAAGAGCCAACCGTCCAGAAAGAAATGGCAAACTACTGGATGTAAATTTGCCTAGAAAAAAACCATAAGAGCCAGTTAATGCTGGGGTGGGTTCTGTGGGTTCCTGTAAAGAATACGCATCTAACTAACCAGCAACCTCTACTTATCAAACACATCTCTTGCACCCATTTTGTTCGACTGTCAGCTAGACAACTAGATAACATAAAAATCAAAAGCTATATTTACCTTGCCGGGAATCGACCTGTCACCACCAAAATGGCATACATCGTCCATATTGTCTGTTTGGTTATTATATATATATATATTTCTACATTGTCTATTTGTTTATTATATATATATATGTATATATCTTAGACAAAGAGGAAGAGAAATACTGACATCTTGAAAGATCTGAACATTAAGGAAGATTGACTAATAAACAGCATCCTGTCTAGGAAGCTGAAATATTTTGAGCGCCACGACGGATAGGAAACAATTATAGCAGAAGACATGGTACCAGGAAGGAGGGGCAAGGGCCGACCACCAGGAAGATGGGCACAGGATTTAAGTGACTCCTTGAGTATGAAAGTACATGAGGCGGGAGAGCTGGTGAGAGACCAAGTTTCTTTCAGGCAGACCATGATGAGAGCGACGTTCTGCAAAGGACCTGCTACATGATGATGATGATATAAAATATGTATATGACTTCAAGGGTTCTCCCTTTATTTATGTGAACTCTCAAATTACTGATAAAAAAAACTTTGAGTACCGGTCTTTTTGTTTTTAAAAACCGTCCACCACAGGAATTGAAAACTAGTTTTTCAAAATCACAAATCTGTTAACTGCATTCAATAACCTCTGAGCCAGGGAACCCCTACCACGGCGCTAAATTGTTTTTTACTGCAAATTGTTTAAACAGCTGTTATAAATTTAGTAAAAGTATTGTTTCTCCCAAAAATTAACAAATTGGTGGAGGCAGACCGAGAGAGATGGATTGGATTGCGACGGTGGCACGGAGGGATATCATCGGTGGAACTGATCCAAGGGACTGAGATTTGTGCAGGTGCGTGAACACCTACGCCAGTCGGCATGGCATGTGATGATAATAATGATCATTTCCTCATGAGAATATAGAACTCTTAACTGAGTGAATTGTAACTGAGGATCATGAAGTTGTTAAACACATTCATTAACTTTTAGACCACACAGCCAAACATGGCTTCATTACATTGTCAAAACTTTCTCATACTCCAGGTATTATATCAAGAACTAAAGCTGCCTATCAATGGAGATACAACAGTGGTGGCCCGTTTGCCAGCTCACACTCGAAGAAGCACACGGATTCCTGTTGGTGGTACCAGCAAGGAGATTCTGGAAAAGCTGCAGAAGGTTCACCCACTGCCTGCAGTGATTCTGGAGTGGAGACGTCTTAGTTCAGCTCTCACCAAATCATTGTTTGCACTAAAGCGAGCTGCACGGTACACATTTTTCTACATCTAATCAACCAGTTATATTTTTGTTTATAAGAGTGTCTTTTACTTTAATGAGATCAAAATATGAAATGTGTCTCTGTTTTATTTGTTTTCATTCTCAGATAAGTCTGAGGTAAATGTTTTAAAAAAACCTACATACTTCAGCCGTCTCTGTTTAGGTTCTTTGTGAAATTTACATTGGCATTTTCTGACAGAAAAGGGTTTGATTTCTACAACTGACAGTTTATTAAGAGAAAACAAGAAAGGACTTTCAGGCTGTGGTATGAGAGTTGCTCTGTGGAAAAGACTGGGGCCTCATCACATAATCTTTCCAGAGACAGCAGTTGGGGCACTGCAACTGACTTTCATTATGGAGACCACACACATTTTTTTTCTAGTACATTTTACTGACATCAGCCATGCACTCAGAATGGATAAGTGCCAGACCCCCCCCCCCCCCCCCCCATCAAGCCCTCATATGGACACTAGAAAGGAAAAAAAAAAGGAAAAGATGAAGAGAGACCCTGCGTAGAACCATCATCAGGGAAGGCTCAGCCATGGGCCAAATGAACATCCAAGACCTATAACAGGTGGCAATGTACCGCCAGACATGGAGAGCTATGACCTTTGCCCTATGCACCGCCCTAGACTTAAGAGGAATGACTAATTAGCAAACTAATATTTTAATGACAGTGATTTTTCTTGTAAAGAAAATTATGTTGACACGTTATATTCAGAATATACATGTCAAAGGCCTTGCTTCAGATGAAGAAGGATGAAATATCATCCTTGTAATCAAGTATTTAGGCTGTTCGTAAAGTTTCATGACCATTCATTAGCTGTTTATCTTGTGCCACCGTTTTTGATAGATCTGTGTATACCTGTTTTATTTTATAAATGTAATTCTTTGTCTATCCTTCATCTTTTCTATATTTTGTTCTCTAGTATTCTGTGTTATGTTTCTTCCATGCCCTAAAATGTTGCCACACCATGAGGCTGCTAATTTTTTTTTTTCAAATTACGCTAAGAAGTCATCCTTGTTTTATTGGAGTTTCCACAACTCATTTATTTGCCAGTATTTCTTTCCAGTTGAGTTATGTCACTTGTCTTTAACAGCATATCTCAAATGCTTCTTATCACTTTTTGTATTCCCCATGTGGGTTCCATAACCCCTTTTGGAGGGGGGAGGGGGAATAGGAAAAGACCCACTGCCTCCCCGCTCTACCCTCAACCTCCCCGCTCTACCCTCAAACAAGCAAGTTATAATCGGCTACTACTAACTTGGAACTTGCTGAAATCAGTTGAGTTTGTCTTAAAGGCATGGATATCACAGTCTAGCTGTAAACCACACCACAGTGTGCCAACAGCCCTTTAAAGGGTGAACACAGTAAAATAATAACATTTATCTGTAAAACCAAATCTTAAATGTTCGGATGGTTTTCATCATATTTTTCCAATGTTGATATTTCAGTACCAGATAATGTTACTGGCCAGATGTGCATTCTAGAATTCTTTTCACATATCCAGTTGTAAATTGGGGCTCGGTCACTCTCCGCAGACCGGCTAGCCACCTGTTGAGAGCACAGCACAGAGCACGAACTCCTTAGCTCCGGTGATGATCCTCAGGGATCTCCGTAAACATTGCACCCATGAACTGAAGGGCTTAAAAACAGAGATTAAAAAAGAAATAGACTTTGCTTTCCAGATCAACCCAGCTTATTATGCCTACTAAAAAATCTTATGGAAAGCAAATGTAGCTATGTGATCATCTAAAGCGGACTGTTCTATGGATATATGGGCTGTTGCAGTATATTGTGTATGCCTGAATTTATGAAAAATGCCCCTTTACTTATTTGCTCACTATATTGTATACTTACACTATAAAGTGGGTTATTGCTGCTTGTATATTGAACTTATAGGCACTGTCCTAAACTGGGAATGTTTCGAGTATACGGGGATTGTCAGATTTTTACTTCAACGGGGAGAGTCAGCATGGCTGAGCCAAATCTGCAGAATGTCCCGAAAGATTTTGCAGTAGATGTGCCCAGTAAGTATTTTTCATAATCCTGTTGTACGTTCAAACACCACATAGGGCTCACAGTCAATTCAGTTTTTCTGTTCTAAAAATCTGTTCTTTACCTGGAATCTTGTCCAGCACTCCTGGTGTCTCTGATCATTGGTTTTTAAACATTTTGATAGGGTTTCTCTTAGACTTCCTCGCTTCTTAGTCTGTTTGTTTCTTTCTTCAGTGTCTGTTTTGTGATTCTTTTAAGTATCTTTGTTGCCTGAATTAAAAAAAAACAATGGCTTCTTGAATAGGAACTTAAATATTGCAGAGAGAGAGAGAGCCCGATCCATATGGGATAAAACCCAGTGCAATGAAGTCGATCCTTTCGACTTTATGCAGTGGAGACTGCTTACAGTGATCTGGGATGTGGCAAATTTCTGTTGTGAAGAACAATTGATTTATCCTTCGCAATTACCATATGCTTGAACTCTTGATCTGGAAAAGAGGAATTTTTGATAAGGAGAACTATTTCTTGGGTCCCTGACGAGTTCTCCTTATCAGGTCTGCATTGTACATAGGAAAAATACCATTGTTTTGAAAACACATTTTGATGCATGTCTACCATACTGCAGAACACAAAAAAGCACAGCTGAAGTTATGCTTGTCATGGTGTTGGTGATGTGTTTATTTTTCCTATGTATTAAAATGTATGGGACACCCTGTATGTTACTCTTAAGAATTCTCTCTCTACCTTGTCTTGCTTTAGCAGACAATGATGTATTGCATATGGACGTTTTTTTAAATATATTTTGGAAATATATCTTTACTTACAGTATGTAATAACACTGGGAATGTCACAGCCTTGATGTGTAGCAGCAAAACTTATAACCAAAGAAGGGTATCAACTGTGAATCAGAGCAGACATGAAACCAGTGATTTGTACCAGACTCGCGCTGTTGCTCCTGTAAGCATGAGAAAGATGTTTGTTCCCTTCAAAGGTACCTATCTTGTTTTATTCATTGCATGCCATTATTATTTTCATGTACATATTCCCTGAGAACAGATACATCCATACTTCAAGAACTGAATTTTGAAGAAGGTTGGCTATTAGAGTCGATAAAACACAAAAAATTGAAATATTTTGGTCATTTAAAACATCATGAAAGTTTAGAGAGAACAATAATGGAGGGGTATATGCCTGGAAAGAGAGGAAGTGGAAGGCCAAAGAGAAGATGGGTGCAGGATGTGGCGGATGATCTCTAGATGGGTGTATTGGACGCTTGTGATCAAAATGTTTTCTGGAGGGTTGTTATGGGAGCAAGGTTCTGCAAAGGACATGCTACTGACTGACTGACATATTCCCTATCTTGGCTGCTGCTTGAAGCTTTGACGACCCTAAGATTGCAAAATCTCAGTCTGGATGGGAGTTGAGTTGACATCACAGCACGCGGGGCATTCCGATGTGTGCTCCATCCTCATCTTCAGCAGCCAGCGCAGAGTTCCAACACTGATAGTACCAGTCACAATCTGGTTATATGTCCGTCTTGCCTTTCCTCTGAGTGTAGTGAGCCGGTCAGACCCTCTGGTTACACCCAGGAACCTCATTCTTTCTAGGCTATAATAATATTTTTTTTCTCTACTGATTCCGTTGCTTGTTCCCACAGGGCCTTGAGTCTGGATGGGAAACCAACAGGACAAATCACAGATACACCCTTCAACCTCAAGAGAAGTTATAACTAGGGCTATTGTGTGTAGCCACAGCTGCCTGGTGTAACTAGCAATTCTGTGTGGGCAAGGAGTTTTCTTTTTTCTCCTTTTAATTAACTTTGCATCCGATGCAGTAAAGCAGGCCAAGTATTGGGACAGCTAGTCCCCGCCCCCCCCCCTTTTTTTTTTTCTTTTACTGCATAAGGCAATCCCAGTCAAAACAAAGAAACAAAGCATATTCATTCCCACCCTATGCTATCAGTGCCAGACGTGGTAACTCACAACAAAACATAAAAGAAAATTAGTAACCATGGAGACAAGGTGTCTAAGAAAGACTAGGAGTGATCAGAAGAGATCAAATCAGGAACGAAGCCATACAAGATAAAGTTGGCCCAGAACTAATACTAAATTACATACAAAGACAGCAGATTGATTAGTTTGCTCACTTGGAGAGAATGCTTTCTGGTGCTATACCATACCAGGCATATACCAAAAGAGGAGAGGGACGTAGAGCAAGAGGTAGACCGAGAACAATATGGGAAGTTAAATCAGAGAAACTCTACAGACCATGATGTGTCTGTATTTGAAGCAGCCAGAAGAGCACGAAGCAGGACTTTATATCTCCCTCGACACTGGAAGTGGTAAAAGAGGACGTAAAGAAGAAGAAGAATGCTAATGAAGTTGTTTTTTTTCAGTTATTGATTACTACGGAAAACAGCAAATATGTATAATGTAAAGTATTTCTGGCTTGTATTAGCTTTTATCCTCTTTCTGTGACACCATTTGTATTGCATGTTACGATGCCCACCTATGATGTGTAAAGAACTTGTTTGACTCATGACTAGGCCTGGGGATCATTACAAATAAAAAAAGGAAGATATAATACTCCCCTCGATCCTAAAATAGCGAATTAGACATCTAACCTTCTAAGACATGGGAGAAAACTACCTATAGGATCTGTGTTAGTCTTTCCTCTCGACCCTAGGGTGGTGCATAGGGCAGAGTTCATAGCCCTCCATGTCTGGCAGTTCGTTACTACCTGTTTTAGGTCTTGGATGCTCATTTGGCCCATAGTTGAGCCGTCCCTGATGATGGTTCTACACAGGATCTCTCTTGGTCTTCCCCATTTTTTCTTTTCCTTCCGGGTGCCCATATGAGTGCTTGATAGAGAAGTCTGGTGAGAGGATCTGTGTGCACAGTGTAATTCATTCAACGAATATGACTAATCCTTTCCTAGCAGGTTGCACCTTGGCTGGAGTAGCCGTTATTGGTGGCCTAATTATAACTTCTTTGGAGGTTGAAAGGGATATTTAGGATTTGCCCTGTTGGTCAGGCCATCCAGATTGAGATTTTATAATCTCAGGGTTGTCAAACACTGGGGGGGGGGGGGGGGGGGGGGTGGTTGGGGGTGGTTGAATGAAGGAAGGACCACTTATCATCCTAGTCATAATTTGAGTTTTCTTCCTCTTCTTCTTCGCAATCACTGGCTGTAAACCCCAGTGGAAAGTTCTGGATGTTTGTCCATCTCTGGACTTTAGTCTTTTTTCCAGAACATGAGTGTTGCGTGCACATTCGCTTTACAGATCTGACTTATATATATGCAGACTGTTCCTTGCCTCTCAGGCAGATGCTCTCCGACTTTGAAGGAAGCCCCAAATTAGTTGACTTTTACGAGATGCTTATTGGGGGTGCAGTGGATCTGTTCTTGTTCTCCCCACAATGAGGCCCCAGAACCCACACAGGCCAATATGAGCTGTGTTGAACTACTTCGTTACATTTCTTTTTGAAATTTAATTCATTTTGTCCTTTCCCTCTGTTGTGTTTTCTGGTTATAGTTTGTGTTGTGTTTACTTACTCCTGTACTTTTATATATTTTTTGGAACCAGTTTTAATTATAATTAATTCTGTATCTGTCCTTGCCTGTCATCATATTCATCAATCACCTGCAGACTGGTATGGGTGATCTTGCCTCTCCACAACATGTGATCTCCGACAGCATGCATCGGTTCATGTGCAAACATCCTTCCATGTCATGATAAAAGGCTGTCAAGAATCACATAGAATTATCCTTCCCCACAACATGTGATCTTTAACAGCATGCATCGGTTCATGTGCAAACATCCTTCCATGTCATGATAAAAGGCCATCAAGAATCACATAGAAATGTCCTTCTCTACATCTCTTTCCATAACTTTTCCAATAGTCAAAACATGTTCCAATCTCTTCTCATAATATGGAAGCAGAAATGACATTAAATTTAATACCACCTATTCTTCTGTATATGGGAGTCACCATGGGGTAGCGGCTAGACACTTGCGTGCGGAGGGTTGTGGGTTTGCTCCCTGGCGGAGCCTGACTTTTTTTAAAAAATGACTTTGACTGCCAGGTCAACCCAGCCTTAAGTGGGTACCAGGTGCAGTCCCAGGAAGTAAAGGCGGCCGGCATGATTCTAACCACATCATCCATCTTGTGCCGATTGGTCTATCAAAATATAGGTCTAGCCCTGTATGCCCTATACGCCTAAAGATGTTGAAAAGGGACCTTTAACTTTTTTGTTGTTGCTTTTGTATATCCTCATTTCAAGAGACTCAATTTGATTTTCTAGTGGCTTGTTCATAGTAAAAGTTTCTGCAAGTCTAGCATTGTTTCAGCTGTTGCTCTTCATTTTGTTTCCTGCAGTTACTGATATCTGCTTTATGTACAGGCGGTGTTATTTTGGCTGCTGATTATTCTCAGCTGGAGTTGAGAATCATTGCTCATCTTTCTGAAGACTCGAGGCTGATAACCATCCTAAACACAAAGGATGGAGATGTGTTTAAGATAATTGCAGCTCAGATGAAAGGATTGGACATTGTAGAGGTGTCTAATGAACATAGACAGCAAGCCAAACAGGTGAGACAGTAACAATAAGCATGTTAAAAAATATTTGCTGTATCTTCTTCTTCTTCTTCGCGTTCACCAGCTGTAAACTCTGGCAGAAACTTCTGGTTGTTCATCCACTTCTGGACTGCAGTCCTGTTCCAGAACCTGAGTGTTGTGTGTGCATCCGTGTTACAGATCTGACTCCTTTGTATGCAGACTGCTCGTTCCTTGCCTCTCAGGCAGATGCACTCCGACTTCGAAGGAAGCTCCCAATTAGTGGCCTGGCTAACACATTTTTCAGCTAACAGAGATATTTTTCACAGATTTTTGTTGAACAAATGTGGCTTTGGCTAACGACTGTTTTAGTGGATGAGCACGCTAACATAATGTGGCTGTATTTGCAAGTGGACTTTTCACACCAGTCATGTTTTTGCTAATGAAAATTTGGGCTATCAGATGGGATTCTGGAATAGAATAGTTTCATTTGCCGGGCTATCAGTGTGTGTGTGTATGTTGTGTATGCTTTGGTTTGCAGGTGTTTTGGAGATCCCTGCAGGTCATCGCTGGAGCTTTAAGGTTTGTTTGATGCCCTCAGCAGTCAAACAGTCACTCTGTCAGTCAGTCACAGGGCCATCTTCATGGCTTTAAGAAGTCACTCTATAATTACTTTGCTTCTCTGCCAGCAAATACCACACAGAATTCCCATCATAATACCATGCAACAAATTTGAAACAGAATGCAGTCTCAGCAAAGCCAACAATATACACATGCATTAAATGCATAAGGCAGCTGTTAGAAGTGCTAACACAAACATTCCACCACTAGAATTGCAGTTCATCGTCGATGGAAACAGTAGTTGAAATAAATCAACAGTGGCACGTGCAGTAAGGTACCACCAGTTCTTTGGTAACAGTCCACTCATTACTTTTTGAATCTGCAGTTCACAACACAAACCCACCTTGGGCGTGGCTGAAAAGCATTCCAACTGCCATTTACAGTTCTCACCATGTCACACCATAGACTCAGCTCAGCAGCTGTGTCATCATCATCGTCATCAATTTTAACTTTAACCATTAAGCATCATGGCGAGGAGCAGTTTGCAATCTGTTATTTCATGGGTGGCAATGGATATTGTCATTCCATGTCAGTGAGAAAGCCCTTTAATGTCATCCGTTCATCTGTTCCTAACCGACCTCTTGCTTTTATATTAGGTCTTTTCATGTGTGGCGCCTGTGTTGGTAGTTGTTCCAGCTGCAGATAATAGGATGCAGATAATGCAGTCCCTTTTTTACCCACAAGTTGTACAAGTTGTATTATTTCAACAAGAGAGCATTTTTACAATTCTTCTTCTTCTTTGCGTTCACCGGCTGCAAACTCCAATGGAAAGTTTTGGTTGTTCATCCACTTCTGAACTCCAGTCCTATTTCAGAACCTGAGTGTTGCGTATACATCCGTTTTTCAGATCTGACTCATTTGCATGCAGACTGTTGGTTCCCTGCCCCTCAGGTAGATGTACTCCGACTTTGAAGGAAGCTCCCAAATAGTCCACTCTTACGACATGCTTTTGGGCAGGCAGTGAGTCTATTCTTGTTTTCTCCCACATTTGAGCCCCAGAACCCACACGGGGAGTTTTTACAATTAAAATCTCATTTATTTTCAAAATGAATTGTGCAGGTCTGCTACGGAATGCTGTATGGCATAGGGCCAAAAGCTCTTGGTGAACAGCTGGGAATGGATGAAAATGATGCTGATGCCTTCATGGAAACATTCAAGTCACGATACCCAGGTAAAAAACCTTGAAGAAACTGCAGTTATTTTAGTTCATGCTATATGACCTTTTCTCTCTATAAAGTGAAGTAATTTTGAGGGAAATTAAAGAGAAAGCAGGAATAAGAACTGGAGGATACAATGTAAACAATTGCATTATGCAGACGATACAGTTCTGATACCTGAAAACGCAATTTATTTACAATAACTGCTGGATAGAGAGTGCTAAGAAAGGACTTTCCTTGAATATTAACAAGGAAGAAGATAATTCCACGTTGTGATATCTCAGTTGAAGGGAAAAGACTTCACCAAATCAATAAAATCAATTATCTGGGAACAATCATATCATCAGATGGAAAATGTGTGACAGAGATTAAAAGCAGAATAGGTCAAGCGAATGCAGCATTTCAGAAAATAATAAATATCTTCTGCAATAAGTCGCTCTCATTTAATGTCAGAAAGCGAGTGCTAAAATGTTACATAGAACCTGGTCTGCTGTATGGCAGCGAATCTTGGAATGTCGGTGAAGAAATTAAGAAGAATTTGGAAGCAGCAGAGGTGTGGTTTCTTAGACGAATGTTACAAATACCTTGGACTTTAGTGTAACTAACAATGAAAGAAGCTAATGAAAGTAGATCTCTATATACAACAATAGGAAGGAGACAAACAATGTTCTTTGGCCATGTAATGAGAAGAGAGGCATTGGAAAACTTTGTGACAATTGGAAAAATCAGTGGAAAGAGGTGTAATGGCAGGCCTAGAGAGCTGATGATGGATGGACAAACGATGGCATGGTTGGTGGGATATCATCAAGATTGCTGTTCCAGGCAACCAGGGATCATGATCTGTGGAGATGCATGAGCGCCTAGGCAGGTGATAATGATGACAGCTTTCTTATATATTGACAGTGGTTTATGTGCATTATGTTTAAAACAAGAAGTGTTCAAATTCCCATTGAGTCTGAGGATTTGTTTCTGTGACCATGACTCCCACGTCTATCGTGCCTAATCTAGGTACCTTGAAATTTTGTTAAAGCAAACGCATTTAACATAATTTTTCTGAGAACTTTAGGTTCATTGCTGTGGATTTCACCAGCCTCCATTTATCCCAGTGATTGGCGTTCTCTTTTTAGTTGGTGACTCCAAGTGTTTGTAAGTCTGCTTATGTACTATCTCTCCACCATCTTCTTGATCCGCCTTGTGGTCTACTCTCATTCAACTCTTTGGTGTATGCAATTTTGTTCTCTGTTGTCTGCCATTCTTGTTATATGCCCAAACCATTGCAGTCCTGCTGCTAGTAATTAGGAGTGATTTAAATGCATTATAAAGTGGTTCTCATACTACACTCTCCGCTGTTTTCTTCTTTAATGAGTCCAAAGATTCATCATAATTAGTTAGTTAGTTAGTCTTTCCTCTTGTGTCGAGTGCGGCACATAGGGCAGAGGTCATGACTCTCCATGCATGGCGGTTCGTTGCAATCTGTTGTAGGTCTTGGATGTTTGAGTGGCCCATGAGCGAGCCTTCCCTGATGATAGTTCTACGTAGGGTTTCCCTTGGTCTTCCACGAGATCTTTTCCCCTGTGGTGTCCAAATGAGGGCATAATACTCTGTAATATTGTATGCCGATTGACCTAAAAATATGTGGCTAGCATCATATACCTAGTACATCTCATGACAAGAAAAGAGAGCCTTTTAATATTACATTACACCATTTTAGTTTATAACAGTGCTTTCCCATAGTGAATTTCAAAGATACAGACAAAAACATGTAACTATATTAGCGTAAAAGGAAACAAAAAAAGTTCTTTTTTAATAATATATCTGTTTCTTTGTTAGTGGATGGACATAAATTTGCCTAGAAAAACCACACAACAGCCAGGGGCTGTTGGGGTTGGTTCTGCAAATAACCTTATTAGTGGAAAGGATTGGTTTTTTGCTTCATTTTATGTTGATAATAATTCACCTGATGAGAAATAGTAAAACATGCCAGCCTTTAAATTGTGCAGTGTTTTCATTTTCTTCTTTTGTTTTTGATTATAACCAGCTGTAAACTTTGGTTTAAGTTGTTTGCCCACCTCTGGACTTTAGTCCTGATCCATAATCTAAGTGTTGAATGCACACCCATTCTACAAATCTGACCTATTTTTCTGCAGACTGTTGGTTCCTTGCCTCTCTGATAGATGCCCTCCCAATTTTAAGGAAGCCCCTAATTAGTCGACTCTTATGACATGCTTGTTGGGAAAGCAGTGGGTCTATTCTTGTTTTCCCCACACCGGGGCCCTGGAACCCACACAGGGAGTGCAATGTTTTGTTTATGTTTGCATTATTTAAACTTTTTTAAATTTATTGTTTGCAGTGAGTTCCAATAATAAGTAATTTTTATTTTGGCTTGCTGTTGTGTTTGAGGTGAAGAATAATGTCTTTCTTTTCTTCAACCACAGGAATTAGAAAATACCTAAAACATACCGTGGAATTTTGTCAAAAGAATGGATACGTGAAAACCTTATTCAACAGAAGACGTTACTTGCCTTCCATCAAAGACACCAACCCTCATGCTCGATCACAAGTACTGTGTATTGTTTTTGCCAATTTACATATCATTCATTCATAAGACCTAAATTGAAAGCTACAATTGTAGTTTGTAACCCTTTCACCCCAGAAACCTATAGGGAAAAAGGCCTAAGACTCACCAGTTTCTCCAAAAATATCCCTTAAAAAAAACAATCATTTTACACAAGTCTCTTATAAATAAGTAAAAGAATTTCTTATAAATATTAACTATTTTGTGTAATAAAAACATGAAGGGCAGTATTCAGCAAACACAACTGGATGATATTCCTTAAGACTTAAAAAGGGTATTGGATGACTCATACTGAGACTTTTTCACACCATTATGCGAGTGCTAAGATTAAAAGCAAATTATGTCAAAATGGCCTAATTAGCCTTTTTCCTCAGAATGTTGATCCCAGAAAAGTCCTGTATAACCAAGAAAATAGCAAAGTAAAAAACAGTGAAAGTAGCTGTACTAGTTATCCACAGGGGTAGGAAAAGGATAGTTAGATATCAAAATGAATTCGGTGAAAGAATCTCAAGATGTTTAGTTAACCCTCCAACTTTCTTCTCTCGTAGCGTTAATTTTTATGAATCAGGTGATTTACATATAAGTGAGCTGAGATAAACTAGTATGAACAAAGACACTTCACCCTAAATACACAAATTACCCCACTTAGATGTTATAATAAATTGAAATAAAGTTTATTAATTCAGTCTAAAACACAATAAATTGATGGTATTGGTTTGAGATGTTGCATTAATCAATCATCAGATGATCGGTTGGTAATAAGTGTCAGTGAGTTTATTATGCATAGGAGAGTTATGATGTTAGGGTGAAATTCTTTTGAACAAAACAGGTACATAATTTGAGAAAAATAAACCTGAAGACAGATCTCAGTTTGAGACTCTGCCTAACATTTCTGCCAGTCTGGTGTATGCACAGCGACTGCCGGCTCATCTCTATGATTCACAGCTGAGACATTGATACTGTTAGATCTGTGGTCCCTTTGGGAACTTGAAAAGCAAAGCACAATGCCAGAAGTTCTGTCTCAAGCTTAGAGATAAGGCCTAACAGTCATGGTGTGATGACGGCAGAGTCTCCATTTCCCAGCCCTACTGTCCACAGTTTTATAATCTCTGCTAAGGTTCTCTTTTCCCTTCCTAACAGCTTTAATTCAAGGGTTTCAAAGCTCCACCTCTTGGAGTACAGTATTCACTAAGCACATGTCAGTCAGGAGGAATGCTCAAACATTTGTTTGCCTGCCCTTACATTCCTATGGTTTGCTGGTTTTCTTTGTTTCACAGGCCAGGCAAGTGAACATTTTTCCCTCCAACTTTCCCACGATCATGACCAGTTTTCCCCCAGTTTTTTTCTTCTCATAACATGACCAAAAAATACAGATTGTCTGCTTCTGATAGGGCAGTTGGTTCTCTTCGTTGTGAGTTGGTTTCTCTCAAGACATCTTTTTATCTGTCTAGGGCAGTGATTCCCAAACTGTGCACCACGGTGCCACAGGGAGCTGCGACCTCTTCACAGGGGCGCCGCGAAATATTGTAAAAGTTTCATAATTAATTTAACTAAGACACAAATTTTCATACTTTTACTTGGGTTAGGGTTCCGTGGAAAAACTTAATTGAAAAAAAACAAACCGCGACCAAGAAAATTTTGTCCATGATTCACTTCCGCATATCAGGATAAGATTTATAAAGCTCTTGAGAATGTTCTTTCTCACCTAATGTAGGGGGGCTACGTTGTCTCGAGGCATGGCGTCCGCCTCGTGTGCTAGAGGTTCCGAGTTCAATCCCCGATCAGGGCTGGGATTTTTCATGTGGACTTGGACTTCAAGTAATTCCCCCTGGTCTCTGGGTAGTGAGATCAGATGCCCGTGTTCATTCTTACGCACGTAAAAAATCCCTTGGCATTTGGAAATCTAAAAGAGTAGCCTGACGACGCGGCCTGGGCAAAATGTGGAGTTAAATATCTACCCAAAGTATTTCAGGATCCTCATGGGTGCTACAAAACCTATGCACTGTGCTGAGCTTCTTCAGACTCAGACGAGTTAGAAGAAAGAACGGGGCACTTATGGGTTACTACCTGTGTGCCAAAATGTTGATCCGTTGTTCAAACCTCAAACCTAATATAATAACCAACCTAAAAATGTTTACCAGGAAGTGTTCTGAAACATAAATGTGGCTGGCATGATATTGACCACATCAGATGTTGCCAGTTAGTCTAGAAAAATATTGGGCGAGTACTTTATGTCCATAGGGAGCTGGCATGGTATAGCAGCTAGAAGCTTACCTACAGTTCTGAAGATCATGGGTTTGATTCCAAATGGAGGCAGACATTTTTTTTAAAATGATCTTGGCTCCCAGGTCTACTCCTCAGCCTTGTTAAACTTCATCCACTGAGTCCCAGTTGCTTTAAAAAATATAGGTCTGGCTTTATATGCCCAATACGTCTGAAGGCGTGGAAAAGGTTCCAAACTTTGTCCATATGCCCAATATACCTCAAGGCTTAAAAGTAAGTCTTTACTTATACACAACATTATGTTCACAATGAGAAATTCCCCCATGTGGGTTCCAGGGCCCCATTGTGGGGGGAACAAGAATAGATTCACTGGCTCCCCAACAAGCATGTCGTTGGAGTCGACTAATGGGGGGACATCTTTTGAAGTCGGAGTACATCAGCCTGAGAGGCAAGGAACCAACTGCATACAAATAAGCCAGATCTGTAAAATGGATGTTCATGCAATACTCAAACTCTGGAACAAACACCCAGAGCTTTCTGCTGAAGTTTACAGCCAGTGAATGCGAAGAAGACAATGACAAATGTGTTCTACAAGTTTTGTTAACTAAACATTGTGTCTCACTTTGTTTCACAGGCTGAGAGACAGGCAGTCAACACCACCATTCAGGGCTCAGCTGCAGACCTGGTCAAGATTGCCATGACCAATATTGACAGAACAATAATGGATTTGTTCCCAGATGCTCGGTCATGTCACACACAGTGGCTACCATCACCAGGTTAGTTGATCAGATTGTTAACATATATCATCATCATCATAGTCTTTATAACATCACATGTTGCTGAATCATCAGTTGCTGTTAACTGTCTGATCACCTCTGTCTGCCTGTGTTGTTATCTCTGTATTTGTTTTGTGTCTGTGTGAGGAGTGCATTCTGTCTGTGATTGTGTGTATGCCTGTTTATGTTGTGTATGTGCCACCAGTGTGTGCGCCTCTGTGTAGGTGTGTTGTGTATGTGTTGATGCTTGTGTGTGTTTGCAGTGTGAGATTATTTTTGCATGTATATTTGAAGGTATGCATTTGTCAGCCATGTTTTTGTATTTTTACTTTACATTCATACTATGAATTTATATATAAACATTATATGCTTGATATATAAATTACAGTTGCAATATAAAAGATAAATGCTTGCAAGGGCCGAATGAAAGCCTTTTTAGTCTACCTCTTCTCCTCTACAGAGCCCTTTAGTATCATTTTGGAGAGACCAGTAGATCTTATTACATGTCCATACCATTGCATTTTCTATCAATCCAAAGATGTCAAAAAGAGGTTTATAGTTGCCAGTGTGTTAACTTATATGCTATTCTTACATTTTATGTTATTACAATCAATTTTGTTATTCATTGGGCCTTCCATTGCAGGTTCAGTCTTTCTGTGTAACAGGAATACATTTTGTTTCCACTATTTAGATGTAGACATCCTTGTTTATCCAAGCCATGTTTCAACTCCAAATAATAGCTTTATAGACAGTGGTTGGGAATCTGTTGAATCTTCCCCAGTAATAGGAAGACTTGTGTACAAATATTATTTTACCTAACACTATTTCATTAACTCATATATCTTTTAACCTCTTCAAATTCATATTTTTTTTGTTAATTGGATAAGAATTTACGAAACTTCATGAACTCAATCTGTATTTTTTTTGCTGAAGGTTTTAGAGTTAGAGACAAAAGGAGAAAATTTGAGTTAGCTTTTACAGAGTAGTATAGAAGATGATCAATAGTCAAAATTATTATTAACAGAAACTAGATGGCTGTTTAAGGACAAGCCCACTTATGCTGCTAAGCAGGGCACATGATGACGATTGACATCCGGGAAAAAAAAGGTTCTTCTTCTTCTTCTTCTGCATTCACCTTTAAAAGGGTGGCTGACCTGCTTTTGTGTGTGTGTGATTTATAGCTAGGTTGTGATATCTGCATCTTTCAACCCAACACATTCTATTTCAGCAAACTTCTGGTTAGTCATCTTTTACAACAGGCTTGCTAGGGGGCAGTGGGTATAACTCACATGGGAAAGAAGAAGAAGTGGAACGGCAGAGATTACTTTGCTTTTATTCTTCTTTATGATACTTTTATATTTCAAGTCATAACATTTCATTACATCTTCTTCTTCTTCTTCTTCTTCTTCTTCTTCGATCCTTCTGTCAGAAAACTTATATCAGGAGGCCGGTAGCCTTTATGAAAGCTATCGTGCAATCCATATCCTCTTGTGTACATACAGTTTTGTCTTCAGTGTGGTTGGAACAGCCCAGATTGCGTCTCTGTTGTCAGCATACAGTTGACAGTGTTGGAGTACATGCTCAGCATTTTCAACATCATAGAAGGTGTTTTTTTTTCCAGGGATAGACAGATGTTGGTATTTATCTCAGAATGTCTTTTAAAAAAAAGATGTTGGTACTCACCACAAAGTTTATACATTTTATTAACGCTCAGCAAAAAATTATGCTTAGAAAGGTGCCGGTACTGTGTACCGCCAGAAGAAAAGCCTGGCATCATTATATCACCTGGATTTCACAGCAGACTTGTTCTTTTAATTCTCTAGATAAATCTGCCAGACAGAACAAGACGACACCTAGTGTCACTGGAGCATTCTTGGTTCTCCAGCTTCATGATGAACTTATTTATGAGGTGTCAGCCAATCAAGTGCAGGATGTGGCCAGACTTGTGAAACACCACATGGAAGGAGCAGTGAAACTCAGCGTTTGTATGCCTGTAAAAATTAAAGTTGGACCAAGCTGGGGTGAACTGCAGGATTATGATGTTCTAGACTAAAGTTTGGGACTTTACCTTCTTAAACTATCTTCTTTTTCTTCTTCTTAAAATTTACACGCTGTAACCTCAGGTGGAATATTCTGGTTTTTCAAACACTTCCGGGTTTTAGTCTTGTTCCCAAACTTGAGTTTTGCATGCACATTCATTTTATGGATCTTGCTTATTTGCATCAGGCAGATCCGCTCTGGCTTAAAGGAAATACCTAAAATAGTTCATCCTCCCCCCCTCCTCTTTTCTGGAAGCCACATAGGAAACCTTCTGGATTCAGTACCCTCCCATCAGTCTGGATCTCCAAGAAGCTGCTATTCTCTAATTCCCCTTCTGTTGTCATTGTGCAAACATTGCATGTCCCACTTTAAGGACTGAACATCCTTTTTTGTTTTTTTTCACTCTGCTTCTTCATGACATTTTCAAATTTTCTGATAGACATCTTTTCCCACCAGGTGAGGCTGCTCCTTTGTAGCACCCATTTCTGCCCTTTATATGACACTATAAATTGCTCAATCATTCTAGACTAGATATTATCAAAGAACATTTTGAACAAATTAAAGGACCCTTTTTTTTATTAACTCCTTTGGCGCATCAGGCAAATAGTACTAGACCCATATTTTTTTATAGATCTGTCAGCACTCGGTGGGGGATATGGTCAACATCATGCTGGCCACCTTTACTTCCCAGGATATTACCTGTTACCATTTCAGGCTGGGCCAGCCTAAAAGCCTAGGTCAGTTTTGATATCTGCCTCAGTGTGGATTTTAACCTTTGACCTTTTTTTGGGCCTCTAGACAAGTAGCTGTGGCGCTACACATTCTTTCTGTGCTGAGTACCCAGAGAATTGAAATGCCAGAAATACATGAATTCCTCATTTAACGATGAAGCACAATTTTTTTTTTTTTTTTTTTTGCTTTTAAAATATGTTCAACAAATGTGTCTATTGATGTATGTATAAATCATATACTAATTTAATATGTGTATTCTAAGTCTGTGAATGTTTGCATGATATTAATCAATAAATTGTACATATAACTATGTTTTATTACATAAAATATGTATGTAAAGTTGTTAACAGCGGTGATATTATAAATAAAGGAACAGTGTTATGTATAATGTTATATTACAGAAAAATATATACACTAACAGCAACAATATTAATAAAGCAACAATTGTATAGGTAATTATATTATATTACATAAAATGTTTATACAAAGTTAGTAACAGCAATATTATTTTTTTTAATATTATATTTCAAAAAAATATGTATACACAATTAGTAATAGCAATGATATTTATCAAACAAAAGTTGTATAGATACTATATTTTATTACATAAAATGTGTATACAAAGTTAGTAACCTCATTGATATTAGAAACAAAGCAAGTGTTTCAAGATGTTATATTACAGAAAGTATGTATACAAAATTACTAAAGCAATAATGAAACAACAATTATATGGATTATTATGTTTTATTACATAAAATATTTATACAAATTTAGAAATAGTTCATGATTTTTCTTACAGTTGTGAAATATACTTCTGTTATTTGTGACATTCTCTTTTCCACAGTCAGATAGAAACATATTGTTTGACTCTAAGTCGAGATATATATATATATATATATATATATATATATATATATATATATATATATATATATATATATATATATATATATATATATATATATATATATATATATAAGATGTATTGGTTTATTGATTTTGATTATTGTTTTTTTTGTATCAAAATAATTTCACTTAGTTTTATTCAGCCTTTTTTTTTTTTTTTTTTTTTTTTTTTTTTTTTTGCACACCAGCAAAGGGGAAAATAAGGAGAAATATTAGGCAGACAGGCTGACATCTAGTACAGAAACAAAAACAACTGAATAGAGCATTTTATATATTAAATTACAACCAGACAGAAATTTTTGGTTGTCTGCTGATTGGCCTGCAGATTACAGTAATGTGGTTCTCCTTGAACACGCATATAAGAAGGCAGACTTATTGGTAGTGGAAAGTAGCAACAAAGCTTTGATGAGAGCAAACCTGATGGATAATTTCGAAGTGAGGTTTGATCGCAGCCTGTCCTTTAAAGAACATTTTGTTATAATGTTATAACAAAAGCATGCAAAGGCCTGTCTGCAATGAAGGTCCTGGCCGCCGCTAATATTGAGCAGAGACTTCTGCTTCTGTTCCGGGGACTTGTTCCTTCTTCCATCAAATAGACTCTAGCTACTGTCAGCCATATTCAGACTGAAAGACTTGAAAACGTGCAAAATGAAGCCATGCGCATTATCCTGGGGTGCACAAGAGATAACTCTAGTGTAGCAATGAGACATCTTCTTAACTTCCCTACCATGAATTACAAGATCAAGAGCTGGAAGGCTCGCGCATACCTGAAGATAAGTTCCCATCTGTAGCACCGTTTGCACCACATGCTTTTCAGAAACAATGGCAACAGCTTAAAAAGGAGGAAAATCATGAAAAGGTAGGGCAGAGGATGATATCAAGCAGGTCTGCCTGTAATATGTGAAAGTCTTAACAATTCACACACTGTGTAATTATCTTCACTTTGATTATGAATTTGCTTTCTTTCTCTAAGTGTACATCTTTTAACATGGATTTAACCCTTTTGTATGTCTTTGTACTTATGTTTTAATTGTACATATTGATAATATATTTGATGTTGGTAATGTTAGCTTACTGTGTAATGTCACAAGCATAACTCTTTCAGCAGTGAATTTATGAATATGTGATTGTTTGTAATAAATTATATTTTAAGGTTATCCTATTTGTTTGCTGTTTAAAGTGGATGTGCAATTCATTGTTATTGCTGTTGTTGTTTATCCATACCTTTACAAAACGTAAAGTAATGTATGTATAATACGTGAAGTAAAGTAAAGGATCCCTTCCACATCTTCAGGCTTTTTGGGCATCTAAGCTAGACCTATTTTTTATAGACCAATCTGCACTTCTTGTGTAATGTGGTCAGCATCACCCCGGCCGCCTTTACTTCCCAGGACTCTACCTGGTACCCATTCAAGACCTGGATGCCAAGGTCATTTTTGAAAAAAGTCCATTGCTGCCAGGATCTGAACCCACGACCTACCCTTCTGCAGGCGAGAGTCTAGTTGCTACACCACAACAGCTACCAAGTTTATGATACTTGATTACAAATATGGTTAATAAAGCAATGTCGGTCAGTTGCATTCATTGCACCAAAAAGCCTGACAAAAGACACAGAAAAATCATTATTTATTCAACCACCGTGGTGGGATGAACATGTTGAAAAGAACCGATTAGTAAACAAGCCCCCCTTCCCCCAGAAATGTAGTACCCATAAATCCTTTGTCTCTCATCAGCCCTGTGCCTGGGTGAAAACGTCTATCAAAACTCATTTGGAACATGAGTAAAAGCCGCTAGCCGAATATACAACAAAATGAAAACTCACAGTTAAAACTTCGCTTAATCACTTGAGAAGTACACTGGCCCCAAAGGAGCCAAACATCGAGTGACTGACTGACTTTCTACCCCACCAGGACATCACACAAGCGATAAACACCTGATGACACAATGTGCCACCATGTGGGTGAGGATCACCGTTGAGAGGTCCCAGAAACCGCGTTCCGCTATTAGACCATATTTATGGTCGGGCTATATTGCGGCCCCTGGCAAGAGCCAGAGTAGGGCTTCAATTAACGAAAAATTTCATTCTGTAAAGGACGGGAAGTTATCGTGTAACATCGAGTGACTTAAAGTGTCCCATATATAGTAGACGACCTACCAACGAACTTGAGTGAACAACTTCAGAGTCCTTGAGTGACTAGAGTGTCCCCAAAAGTAGAAACAGCGAGTGAACTGTAGTGTTTCGAGCATAGTGGTTGACTTACCAAGAAACTCCAGTGAACAACTTACCAAAACCAGTGACCAACTTAGGAAGTACATTAAGCAACTAAAGGCGTCCCAAGGATAGTTTCTGACTAATCAAGGAACCACCTGAAAATCTGACAAACCATCTTGCTATCAGTTTTTTTTTTTTTCGCCTTTACTTCCCAAGCCTCATTCTTGCGGTCGACCTGACCCGTTTCTTTTAAATCTTGCCTGTTGTAATTTTTGCATTAATATTTTTTTTTTCCTTTTAAAAAAATGATCAATTTTGGGTTAAAAACGCATGGCCTTTTAGAACATCTTTGTCATATGAGCTCATGTGTAGCCTTTGTGAGATCTTTCTTATTAGTAGTAGTAGTACATTTTACCCCACTAGGATATCACACAAGAGATTAACACCCGATGACACAAAGTTCCACCATGTGGATGAGGATCACCTGTGGAGAGGTACTGGAAACCACGTTCAGCCATTAGACCATATTTATGGCCAGGCTATATTGCGGCCCCTGGCGAGAGCCAGGGTGGAGTTTAATAATAACGAAAAATTGCATCCTGCAAGGGGATGACTGACTATTCTTCTTCTTCTTCTTTCGTTCGCCTGAAATAAGTTGTCTATATCAGCAGTTTTGTCTCTTGTATAAATTTCACTGTCGTTGTTAGTTCATTCAGTGGTCTATAGAGTTTACGTTCCACTGTTGTTCTTTCTGACCAAAAGGTTTGCCTTAATGTGTCATAATCGGTGCAGTCCTGGAGTACATGCTCTGCGGTCTGGGGCACATTTCCACAGGTGCACATGGCTGATACACCTATCTTGAATTTTGTGTACATGTGGTTACGTAATCGGTTGTGCCCTGTTCTGAGGCGGAAGATAATGACTTGTTCTGGTCTGTACATAATAAAATAGTCGTCTTGTGCTGGGGCTGGTGGTTTCCTGATCGATTTAATGATTCTTTTTTTTTTTGGTGGTATGTGACTGGTACATCTGGCTGCTCTTTTTTCGCACCTTCCCCTGCCAGTTGATCAGCTTTCTCATTTCCAGGCACTCCACAATGAGACGGTATCCACTGCATTACGACTCTTCGCTGAACGCTGAGTTGTGTCAGCAGTGTTTGCAAT